GGAAAACCAACGGTCTAATCTATATAATAAACGAGAAACGAGAAACACTTATGAACCACATCAACAAACGACAACTACTGACCATCAGATTCCTGAATTAGGACAGGTGCAAACAAATGCAGCGGGGTTAAACGTTTTAATAGGTACCAATCTTCACCCTTATCTGAAAGAATAATGTAACATCGCAACATAGAAAAACACACTATAAAATATCAATTGAAATGGCTTAACTCAATCAAAAGACATATTAACACGAGTGAACATACACTGAACGCATAAATTTGATCTATGACACAGTGTAAATACAAATCAATAAAATAAGTGTTGAATAAATAAAGGCAACAGTAGAATACCGCTTTGAGATGTTAAACAATTTCAGAAAAACCACAATAACCTTGAACAAAATGCCACCAAATAGAATAATGTACACAGGTAAATGAAAATAATTTTGCTGTAAGGTGTACAGAATAAATGGAGAACGGAAATATAATTTACAAAATAAATAATTTTGTTGTTCATAGTACGAGAACAGAAGTGAAAATTTATAGTCATACCAAACACTTATCAAAGCTGGTATATATTAAAAATAGAGAGACGAGATATCACCCTAAATAAGTAAACATTAAATAGCAAAAGAGCATTACAAATAGTATCAACAGGTCAAATTAACAAAAAAGTACGATTTGAGAGTACTCGCAGTTGCTGACAGCTATAAATATACAATGTATATCACATTTAAAATAAAAATAAAACAAGATGACCAAAGGAAGTAATTTCTGGTTGGATTAAAAAGATATCATGTAATAAATTAAGTTTTCGTTTAATGAATTTTTATATACATGATATCATGTTCACATTGCTTTATGTACATCAAAAATACTAGAACTTTCAACCCTTATTCGAATATCTTAAATGTTATTCAAATTTTGTTTATCAAACTATATATAAAATAGTTTATATGGAGCAACTTAGTAAACGTTCACATTGACACCTTTGTTTTGTAATACAAAGAATGTAATAAGATAAAAATAATAAAACGTTCATAGCAATCCTTGGTAACCTTTTAAAAAAGGAAATGTATTCCAAAGTTGCAGTAGAAATTTATTTTAATTAAATTTAAATACTTTTTGTCAAAATTAAAGACTTAGCATACAAAAAACACTTTAATAAGTTTTAATTACCTTAGTACAGGTGTGTTTTACAGGCAAACCCTATGTTTCTTAAACTCGTGTATTACTTATCTTGTGAATTCAAAAGGCCTTGTGACTTTAGTTTAAGAGGATGTTGTAATTTTAAATTGATTTTATTTAAAATTTATTACTCTCTGACCAGGTGTGATCTTTTTAATCAGTGTGCCCCACGCAGGTTGTATTACTTTATAGTTTACCCCTATTCAGAAGAAAAATATTATTCATTTCTTTAATTTTTTATCCCTTTTTAAAATATATACATATCCCAAATTATAACAAGAATAGATATGAATCTGATATATATTAAGTTTAACAATGACAGCGATTTTGTTGGCTGTTGTTTACTCATTAAAAAGATAGTTATACAAGGTAAAAGGACAGAAAGTCATAGGACAAAAAGTCACAGGCCATAAAGTCACAAATTTGATACGTCAAAAAGTCGCAAATTATTTGTTGACAATTGTTTGAATATATAAGAGAAAGATCTTGAAATATTTTCTTTTTATAACATATATTCATTTCTTAAATTAGGAAATTGTTCAGAAGCCTTGATAAATGAAAATTGCATAAATTTTGATTACATAGTTGCTTTATATAAACCAGTTTAAGAAAAAAAAAACAAAAATATTTGTTTTTAAATTAGTGTTTTCTTGTTCAAAGAAACATAATTTCAAACTGAATTGTAACTTTTTGGCCTGAGACTTTTAGTCCGTGACTTTTTGTCTTGTGACTTTCAGTCCTACATTCTTATATAACTATTGTATGTTTCAATAAAACCTATGTAGTTTTTATTTAGTAATTTAAGAAAATCAATATTTGTTTAAAAAAACAAATGCCAAACAAAGAGCACCTTAATAATGTGTTATTTCTTCAGTATAGGTGTGATTTTCAGGTAAAAATAGTCTTTTTCTTTTTATTTAAAAAGACTCAGACTTTAAAATTAGATAAATAAACTATCTTGATTTGATAAATCTGAGAATCATGTAAGGATGTAAAAATCTGTTTATATATATATCCTTATTTTATTGTGGCTGTTGCCATGTCAGTTTAAAAGAAAGTTATTTTACCAATCAAAATTATAAAGGTAGAGGTTATTTGGTCGAGTATGGTTCAGACTGGTCGAGTATTGTTCAGACCTTTGGTCGAGTATGGTCCAGACTGACAAAAATAGATCGAGTATGATTCAGACAGGTCGAGAATGGGTTAAGACTGTTTCAGACTGGTCGAGTAATAGTTCAGACTATTTTCAATAGCAAAGATAAGGGTCAAGTACATATCAGTACAGTCGAGTATGGTTAAGACTGGGTCGAGTAATATTAAGTAAAATTCAGACTAATTCAGACAGGTCGAGTACAAATCAATACAGTTGAGTACAGATATCGGCCATTTCAGACTTTTACTGGTTTGTAGTGATTATAGAAATCCAGTTAAAATCATTTGATGGCTTACTTATTTTACTAGTTTTGTCTTTTCGTATACAAGTGGCGTTTTTGAGTTGTTATCTTATATTCACTATGGCAAATTCTTCTGAATTATGTGAAGACTGTCAATCTGTAGGTTCATGTCTTGAATCATCATCTACCTTAGTATTGTTTACGTATATATATATTATAGCTTTCAAATGTGTAGTTTGGAGCGTTCCCGATAATGGTAGATCTAGAAAAGGGCTTCGGATGCAAGAAACTTATAATTTGTTATTTTGATTCACCATTTTGTGTGAATACCAATATTGTTTGATTGAAATTTACTTATACAGTAAAGAACAGAAACAATTACATTGTACTAAGATAATTGATGCCAGAGTAAGCTGCAATCTTAAATTTCATTGGTCAGAACTGGTCATTAAATTCATTATGTATCGTACCTTGAATTCCTCTTAGTTGTCTCAGTCTCATTGGACCAACACGAAAATTTACATAGTCTTGTGCATACAATCTTCTATCTGCATTTAGTTGATCGCCATTGGTATGGTACCGTGGAAAAAGAAACGGAATAAGGGTCTCATCGATCCATACATATAAATTAGATGCAGTTTTAACCTGTAAAACATTGTTATAGTTTTATGATATATGACAGAAGCTATCAGGTGAATTTCATAATTTGTGTCTTAGTTACACATATTGAATTCTGAATGTATAACATTAACTACAGATTATTTGGTTATTACCCCCAAAATAAATGACGAGCCTACATGTATTTTAAATTGAATATAACAAAGGAAATAATAAAAAATTTGCAAAATGAAAAACTCAAAAATGTTCTTAATTTTGAAGTTATTTTGTACAACATTTGAGAAAGTTTCAAATTGTCCATGAATAAAATCCTATAACTCTGGTATAATAAAATTGGAAATTGCCAATATTGAGACAATAATAAGACCAATAGAATTATGTTTTGAGTTTACAAACAGACGGAAAACAGTATGCTATAATACTCTGTGTCCAAGACGGGCGTATAACAACGGATTGAGGTAGTGGATCTAAGTATCTGTCAAATAAAGGCAACAGTAATATATCGCTGTTTAATAGTCATAAATTGATTAAGTAAAAACAAATCTGGGTAACAAACTAAATCCGGGGAAAACACATGCACTATAAGATGAAAACAGCGGAACAACAGAAACACTGAACAACAACAAAATCAAACGCCAACATACATAGAAACGGGCTGTAGATAACAACTGCCATATTCCTGACTAGTTACAGGACATTTTAAGAAAAATTGTGGGATGAACCTGGTTTTATGGTTAGCCAAACCTCCAGCGTATATGGCAATGCTAAAAATACAAACTATTCAAAGATAAAAAAGCGTTTAATTTCGTATGTCAGATGCGCTTTTCGTCTTCAAACATTTCGTCAGTTGCGCCCAAATCCTGGCAGTAACAAATAAATCATTTTAGAAATTGAAGAGCAATGAAAACCAAAAATAAAATAGAAAAAAAGCAACAATGGAGACTTTACAATTTTGTGAATAGTAAATTTACAAAATGACATATTACAGAACAGCAGTACTGACTATATGGCTTGTGATTTGCTAGGGAAAGAAACGCCTACAAGCAGTGGTATCGACTAAGTAGTTGTGAAAGCTAATAAAAATACCAGACTTAAAACGTAGTAACCAGAAAGGCTGGTCAATTATTTCGATTAAAAACCGATAAGAATAAGAAATTGAATAGCTATAAAACAAATTATTTCAAAAAGTTGTGCAGAACTTGCTTAAGACCATCTGTAACTACACAAATGTATGGTAGAAAAACCACAGTACTTTTATTTCAGAATAAACTTAGCAAAGGAATTTGCCTTGAACTGCAATAATGTCTCTTCAGTGATGCTGAAGGCCGAAATATTTGAAAATTCCAAACCTGGACCTAAAGTATAGCGAAATAGTAAGTTTATAAGTAGTCACACTACCTTATTCATAATTTCGATGTATAACGTGCCTGTTCTCATAACTGATTATATCATAAATATTGTAAATAACGTTTTTGCTGGTATCCCATGCCTCAGCATCGGATATCCTACCAGCCTTATGGGTGTTTATATGGAAGCATTTGCGATTTGTTCAAGATGTTTTAATTCTTAATCGAGCATGTCTATTGCCCTTATATTGTTATCTGGTTGTATTCTTCTCGTAATTCTTTCCCATAGTTTGCATTCTAAATAAAAAAAGTACTTGAAACAGGAAAGACAACTCACCTGATCATACTTTAATGTTGAATCGCCTGCTGGGATATTATTCGATGTAACAAGATGCTGCTCTAGATGATGTTTGACGTTATACCATCTAGAATCTCTGTTACTAAAACTGATACTATACAAAACAGCAAGGAATATCATATATAAAACAAGTTCTATCAATATCTCTTGCATTTTAAGTCGCTGCTGTCTTTTTTCTTTCAATGTAGCAACTTTTTGGAATTTCAATGGGGCTTGCTTCGTTTTGAATACATCTAAAAAAAACCAGAACTAATCAAAATTATGAAAAACAATATTTTATAGTAACATTTGATTTTGTAAGCTTTAACACCTATAGTAATATTTAAGATTTTCCAGGAAAAACGTAATCAAATATAATATACCAAACACTGTTCAGTAAGACTATTGTATTTCGTGTATTGATAATTAGCAAATTCTTATAATTTTCGAAGCTGTTCTTATGTTATATCTTTTTCATGATTATCTCTTAAACCTCTTTGGGATTACCTATTTATTAACTTTTCTATACGTGCAACTCTATTCTATATCGATTTTACAATAATATATTCTTTTTAGAACACCAAATGCTTATCAATTCAAAACAATGCTAATAAAAACTGCGCTGAATAAACACTTCCGATAATAGTTTAAGACCTGGAAAGGCAGACAAGTGTGTGATTACAACCAATGGAACCAAACGTGGGTCAAAAATTAATGTTTGATACACATTAAAAAAACTCACGAAAGATAATATTTTATAAATGTATCAGTGATATTTTATCATCATGTTTTGCTGCATATTTTACTTGATACATGTATGCGCATTAACCTCCGATACAAGTGGGTATAAACATAAAAGAAGGTTGAATTCAGTTTGTTTTCAGTACTGATCCTCATTTCCCTTTGTCACCAGTGTATATGAAGTTAAAACTGAAAATAAACTAGAGGTCCCAAATAGCATGTGTAGCTCACCTAGATCGATGTGCATTTCAAAAATGGCCAATCTCCAAAAGACTAAAATAATTAATGAATAAAATTTCTGAAAATCAGGTGTTGCTAATCATTGTTTTTTTTTACATGTTTTCTTTAGCTACTATAGTTTTTGAAAGATATGGTTAAAATGTTATAAATCCTTATTTAAGAAAATTTACTCCTATATCCGGTCGACTGAAAACTTCGGCTATCTGACCTATTTCTAGTTCTTTTTTTTTGTTTTTTTGCGTTGTCTCTTTCTTCGTTAGTTTTTGTTTAAAAAGTAAGAATAAACTCAGAATAGATTCGAGGATTACAATCCTCATTTCAATGAAATAAGACATATTAAAGGTCGACGGACAATTTCGGATATTTGACTTATCTGTAAATCTGATAATTCTGATTGTTTTGTAACATACAGTTTTTCCATTTCAACAATTGTGTTTGCCAAATATGGAAAAAAAAATGAATACTCATCATTTAAGGTTAATAACTCTCAGGAGTCGTCTGAAAAATTCAACTATAGACTTATCATTATGAATGATTCATGAAAACGAGTTAAGATCAGATGAACCATGTTAGATGAACAATCATTTAATACACCAAATATAGTTAACCTGTTGCGTATAAGTCCCTCTGGTATCTTTCTCCTCTCTTTTATAGTAACTGGAAAACAGACCAATTCCAGAAAACAAATCTTTGACAAAAGTATCATTAAAATGAGGTCATGATCAGATGCACCCTGCCAGAGAGACATGTCCACCCCGAAATCCTTCCATACAACACTTATAGTCACCTTTTTGCTTATATGTCGTAGGCAAATCAAAAACCGATAAAAAACAATCCTTAACGAATTCTTTATTGAGTCGACAAACAATTTCAGCCACGTTTACTTATTTACAGATTTTGTTTTGCTAATAATTTTTGCTTGATAATGTTAATTATTTTATTCTTATTCATCTATTAATTTTCTTTATTGATGACTTTAAGTATATATTTGTTTTTCCACTAGAAAATAATGAACACAATTGTTCATAAAGTCGGTATTGGAAGTGTTTTTGTGTTGTTTTTTTGTGTTTGTATGAATACATGTTACCTTAAATTGATGACATGCCCTTGCGTTTTACCTCAGTATTTTAATGAAAACTGATGAAGTGGGAAACAACAACCTTGATAAGTATATATTTCTTTAATATTTCTTGTTCAATGTGAACAAACTTTACCTAGAAGATATGACAATGGACTTGCTGCACGTCTTTTGGTCTCCAAAAGAAGTTTCACTCTGTCGTATTTCACAGTTTTCTCTTTATAACTCTTAACAATCCAAGAGAATACAAGCGACAGCAATATAATCTGAAAAAACAAAAGCGAAGTTTCAATGTGTGGGTAAATATTTCATTTGTGTTTAGGTATAGAACCCCGACCAGAAATAATTGATAAAAACGTGGTATACACTTAACTGCGGCCAAGCTTAGCGAAAGGTCGTGCAACTTAATCAGTCAAACAAACTTCATTAGATCAACTCTTTACGGAACGATTGTTTTCATTGGTCAATTCAAACATTCGACCTCACATAAACTTTCAAACTCCGCCCAAGCACAACTGCAAAAATAGAACACGCGTACTATAAACGATCAAAAGTTGAATGGACTGATCACGAACATGATTGTGTACTTGGTTATCTCATGGCAATTCTAACTTTATATACATGTGCATGTAAATTTTATTGATAATATAATTTTGTGCAACAGTTCTAATATAAAGGTCCTTTTTTTTTTAGAATTTTAAATTTAAGACTCTTATCGGCGAAATATCAAATCCAACTGTCTCCTCTCAAATAGTTCTGGAGTAACCCGTGCACCATTTCTATCTGTTAAGTTGCATAATTATGTGTTTGCAGTGGGACGAAATTAAGAAATATGAATGAAATGGCTTCGATGATGTTGGATAAAGGTAAATGAGTCCGTAATTAACTACAATAAAACCCAGTTACATACAACAGATATTGCACTATTTTACAATAAATAGGTTTGTGAAATAAACTGTTCACTATTCATATTCTTTCGCAAATATATCACAACCACTTCCTCGACCCTAAAACTAGGCTCTCTTATACGTAACTTTTTGTTTTTTTTTATAGATATGAAACTACATATAAATAGAAAAATGGAAGCCCAATGACTAGTTATGGATGCTATTTTTTGCTATTCTCAGTTGAAAAAAGAACGTAAATTATATGAATAAAAAAATATTACAAGTATAACATTTCAACCGCACTGTTTGAAAATCAGGCGACAACACAGCATTACAAAACATTTATTTTATTCTTTAACCAAGAATTTGTATACAAATCATTGTTTTTACGTCCGTAGTCACCTGTGTCAATTCACAAGCACACTACGATTGTTGTTGTATTTCAATCTTTCGGCCAATGAAATGAAACGTTACAATTTATTTGTTTGTGATACGCCAGAATGTTTTCAATAAATTATAAAACGCTAAACTTGACTGCAGTTCAGTCTAAATGTCAAATAGTTCTTACGCATAGCTGTAAATTCGTCAATGAGTAGAATCTTAGGTTAATTTTGGACAAATAAATCTTTTGGATAACTGTAGAACCCTTGTTGAAATTCTTTTTTGATAATAGAAATAATATATTAAATTTAATTAGGAGAGCATATCTCCCCTGATTTTCACTGAAGAACTTGATTTTGTACTATGAAACTTCCGGGAACCATTGCGCTATAATAAGCAATTGAAGGTATTATGATTTTCTTCAGCACAAGTCAGGATAAGGTATTGTTTTGACATTGAACTTTAGACAATATAGCTATGAATGCTTGAAGTTGCGGAATTTAACATTAGACGCAATAGGTTAATGTGATAACTGGAAGTGTAATTGCTCACACTTTTGTCCTGGATGTTCGCTACTCTGTTTCAAAATAACAAGCTTTTAAAAGACTGTTATAAATTGATAGTATATAAATACATGAACTAAAAATGCAGAAAAAATGAAGGGTCCGTGTGCTTGTTTTCGAGATATAAGCCATTGCAAATTTGGCGGGAAATAGTTCTCTCTAGACTTTCATACATTTAACATTGGCACCCTTTTTCTTTTAAAAAATATAAAAAAACAAGGATTTTATAGGATTTTCATATTTGGCTTTTTTAACTTTATGTAGTAAAATTATGAAAAGAAAAGTAGGGATTAGCGTGGATTTTTTTTAATGGCACTACATGGATAAAACCAGAGGATTCCGAGTATCTGGCAAAAATTCAAAAAACAAGAAGAGCAAACATCCTTAATATTTAAATAGTGATATGAGTCTAATACCTAATCTCCTTAGAGTATGTGTAGTATGACATCCAACACTTTGATTCCAACATTTTTGTTTGTTTAACTATTAAGAAATATTGGTTTTAACTTAAAGTCTAGAAACGTTTTAAAACGAAAGATAATGTTTAAAGGACGACGGTATTTGAGAAAAAGCTAAATAGTGGTAGCTTGTTGAAATGTGTTACTTGTTTTGACTTTATCATTTTATTGTAATTTTGCTAAAACAGTTAGAGTTTTGAACAAACAGTATGTTATACAAAATTCGGTTGCTATTAAAACAATTTATACTCTTCTTATGTTGTTATTTTCCGAAATCCTAGTTTTTGCAATTGCAGCCCAATTGATTTTCTTAAAAAAAAAAAATGCTGATCTCTAAAACAATTGTTAGATATTGAGAAGCAATTTAAATCGTTTTGATAAACCAAATTACATATTTAACCATTCTTGATATATAAAACACAACATACAAATATACAAATACTAAAATACAACGATTAACTATTAATTTCTAAATTTCTCTTACAAAAGAAAATTAATTTTTCCGACTTTGAATACGTATCACATCCTTATTATTAATATGAGACGTAACCTGTGAAAGAGAACGGAGTGTTCAACAATTTTATTTGAATACGGATTTAAAACTAGAGTAAAATGTACCAATACATTTTAAAAGAGGGACGAAAGATACCAGAGGGACAGTCAAAAATAAAAAATTATGACGTTGAACAATACAAAAATAGCAATATCATTTAAAAACAATCTTTAAGTTTTGACAATTTCTACATAATTGGTTTCATGACTGCGAGACGAAAACATTGAGCTTATTTTCCTTGTTTAACTGCCAATATTCGGCTTTGAGCGTTCCTGATGAAGGGAAATCCAGAAAAGCGCTTCGGATGCATGACATTTATAACGTGTTATTTTTATTTTTTCCTAACTCGCACACTATGCCCGTGTATGTAGTAACGTTTTAGATTTCAATGAATGCCATTGGTCTACAACTGGTATGATGTTTAACTATATATAACTGTATCTATGATAGTTTCAATTTTCTAATAGACACATTGGTTGACCGATATAATTCGTCTGTGTCTCAACTCAATAGCGATATGTTTATTGCAATCGTAAATCTGTAAATAACAGAATAGTCGTTCTTTCTGTAATTTTACAGATTGTCTTCTATTCCTGATATGTACATTTTGAGGTATTGATGATTTCATGGTGGGTGATGTATGCATAGCATTAATTTGTTCACATTTTGTCAAACCACTGCTTAAAAGAGCTTACTTAACTGTTTTTGTTTTTTCATATTGTTGAAGGCCATGCGTTGACGTATAGTTGCTTACATGACAGTCCTTTTGCATATCTGTTGAATAACTGTTATCATTGGCAATCATATCACATCTCCTTATCATTATATTAACTGTATTATACTGCCATAAAAACTAAACAATCAACAGATTTGTGATAAAGATATGAGTAAATGCGTCACTGTTAAGGTGGTAAACATCAAAATTAAGAAATGCATTTAGGAACGACCAGTATTTTATACACAAAAAGTACGACTCATTCAGAAAATTGAAATCCTCTGAAATAAATGTCATTAATAAAAAATCAAAATAATACTTTATATTTCCATGCGACTGAAGCGCTGATCTGTATTTATCTTCATCAGGAACTATCTGCCTGTTCATAATATGAAGAATTTCTTTGAACAATGTTACTGTGCAATATGTACAGTATGAAATATCTAAAAGTTCAAAAGAACAGATTTTTTTTAAAATTAATTCACTTTATGTTTTACCTCATCGATTTGCAAAAATTTACAATTAATCATACAGGTTATTGAGAATTTTTAACTTACAATAATATGTTTTGGTTGACATTTTATTTTTGAAAGGTATATGTCATGCAAAATATATATTGATTATTGCATTCGTTACCTATTTGTTTAAACTTACTTGAAGTGTTACTTGCGACGTGTATTTCAATTTATACCTTAGGATAGTGTTTTCATAACGCCCTAAGAGGTCATCCATAATTGTCAACCATTTTCCAAAGTGTACAAAACATACACTTTTGCAGACCTCCACCCTCCCTCAAAAAGTGTACATCAACCATTTTCAGATTCTAAGACAAGAATCAATCATTCTTAATAAAAAAGAAGATCCAGTCTATTATAGTTTAGTTTAATATTGAAATTTACACTGACTGTTTTATTTGATGACATCTATCTGTGATGCTTGTGTTTTTTTTTTTTCAGAATAAAGAGTATAGGGAAAACGGTACTATTACATTTTCCCAGCATTAGGTTGGCCTTTTGTGTACCCAAGGCAAGTGGACGAAGTCAACTTCGGAGCGCTGTGATTGGATGTAAGGGTACAATATATTTTTTTATTTATCTATGAATAACTGCAGTGTGTATACTTACAATATAAATTGTGAAACCTATTCAAATATTATCTAGAGAATTATTCGAAAAGACTTCCAAAATTTCATAAATTTGGTGTAAAAGGACGGTGGGCATGGATAACATAAACAAGCTCCGTTGGAAGTTGGTCATGGTACTATTTGGCTTCAATTTTTAAAACAGAATAAAAAAGTACTAACACCACATATAACTGTTTTATCCAGGTTTTTATTATAAACAGTGGTAAATTTAGAAAATGTTAGTATTGTCGCCTATGGCAGAATAAATAGTACCGTTTTCCCTATACTGAAGATAGCAAGGGAAATCAAAATCAATCAGACTTCAGTTATATTATACTATTTTGAAGCTTTTGATTAGAACATTTGATTTTTATCACAAAGAATAGAAATTTTTCACTGAGAACAATACTGTGTTGAGAAAAGTGCTGAGTCATCATAATATGTCAAATTGATGGATACTGACATAAAACTTTATTCTAGGATTTCAATATCAACTATATTGTATAAAATGCACCAAACTAAAGTTTTGTTTGTATTTGTTTTCACCTTTCGCAATGATTAATTTAATTGGAAACACCAGAATTCAAGTCGCGACAAATATTTTTAACTGAAATATTTGCCTTTTTTGCTGTGTAATTCCCTAAATGTATCACTTGGGTATTTTTCTAGACATAATCTATTAAAATGGGAAATTGTCTGGTTAAGTTTGTTCTGTTTATGGAGTAAGACAATATTTGGTCATACTAGAAGCATTTTCAGTGTTATAATTGTCCATCTAAGAAAAAAAGAGGCCCACTTGAGGATAAATTTAGATAGAATTTATACTCTTTTGTGTAAAGAATTGTTCACATTCTTGGCAATTCATGCAGCAAATATTTCAATAGTGCTACATTTTGTAGTTTCTATCTTTTATTATATCAGGTATATATAATTTTTCATTTTCTACTGTTTTAAAGGACTTTTGTTGGAAATTAATACTCCCAAGAGACATAATTCAGCTTTTTCAAAGATTATTACAGGCAACAAAGGCAACTTTACAGCTGAGTATTTTGCATATTTAATGTTTAAAGTGTTTAATATCTTTGTTATATCATTTCAAGACAGCATAATGGATTTTATAACAAGCTCTGAAATTTTGAACCACCATATGGTATATACTAAAGCATTGAATGGAGATTAGTATTAAAAATCTTGAATTTGTGCTTATGTTGTAAATTTTTTATAAAATGAATACAAATTAAATGGAACTGTTTAAATGGAACTGTTTATTATTCTTTTTAAATAAGATGAGATATGATTGGATACAGGTTGTTTATTAAGCCTTATCTGAAAGAAGCAGAGAAAGAGGTAAACCAGCATGTAGGGGTGGGGACATAAAATGATCCATATTTCTTTAAGTAATGGGGACATACAAGTATTTATTATAGCCAAGGTTTTCACAATAACCCAGTATTGCATTAATGGTGTCATAAGAATTCTTTATATCTTTATGTCACAGTATAGGGAAAACGGTACTATTACATTTTCCCAGCATTAGGTTGGCCTTTTGTGTACCCAAGGCAGGTGAAGGAAGTCAACTTAGGAGCGCTGTGATTGGATGTAAGGGAACAATATATTTTTTTATATATCTATGAATAACTGCAGTGTGTATATTTACAAAATAAATTGTGAAATCTATTGAAATATTTTCAAGAGAATTATTCGAAAGAACTTCCAAAATTTCATAAATTTGGTGTCAAAGGACCGCGGGCATGAATAACATAAAAAAGCTCCGTTGGAAGTAAAACATAGATTTTCTCACCTTGAGTGGATCAACTAAGAGCATTGATTCGATGAATGACATGAAGAAACATAGAAGCCATTCCTCTGACTTCGTCTTTCCCCATTCCATGCTATAGAGAATTAGGAAAAATCCAGATACAAAGACGGCTAATGTGACAATTCCCCATGCAGCATATCTGCACCAAAACGGAAGTGAAAATTCAGAATCGTCTGTAACATCTACATTGGGATTGACTTTCTCATCGGGTGTCAATTGTGTCAATTTAGGATTTTCTTTAACATTTGTTAAATATTTCTTCTCATTTGTTGAACGCGGTCTCGAACTTCTGAACATATAAGATACTAAGAATATTGGAGGTGCGGCAATTAGTGCACTGATAAGTGAAATATATATCCCAGAAAGTGATAATGTGATAGGTCCAATTGAAAAGCGACTTCCAATATTTTGTCCATAAAACATTGCGCTTGAGATCATAGTAAGAAACAGCAGTGTCAAACAACAAGCCAATCTTTCTAACCTTGTGAAGTTACTGTCTTCAGGTCGGATAGCAACAGATAACCATAAGTGATTGTCTGTTGTGTTTTGTCTAGTTTTTTCGTTAAATAAAAATGAAAATTTGTGTTTATCCAATTCATCTGAAACAGGAATGGCACAATCAATGCAGCCATCATCATGGTCCAAAGACATCCATTGATCACATATAAACATATACCTGTCAATAAAAAAGAAGCAGGATAAGGCTATTTTTAGCATCTTTAATTTGAAATTATAACAAGCATTAACAATCTACCAAATAACAACATTCAGATATTAACAAGACATTAACATGTACAATATGAGTATTTATCTATTAAAATATGGTCTGAAATATTTGTATTTCAGCTTTAAACCAAGCATTTCTTGCAAAACTTTCATCTCATTTTTTGAATTTTGTCATTGATATTTACTTATTATCCAAGAACTTATTGCAAAAAGTTAGCTACATAATGTATTTTACAAATATTTTAATTTGTTTAAAATATCTTTTTGAGTGATACCTTAGCTTATATTCACTTTGTCGATAGGCTATATATGTGTCAAATGACTATTTCGGTCAATATATGTCAATTTTCACATGGTTATGACATCATTGTGGTATCCCAGACAAACTTTATGCGCTTAAGTTATCATCTAATTGCAACCATGATCATTCAATAAAATGAGCAAATAAAATCTGATAGGTGTGAATAATTTTACTATTTTACAACTTTCATGGGCCACAAATTGTCTCTTTCATTCCTTCTTCACCATATCACAACAAAAGAGAACAAAAACAGAACATGTTTCTATGTAGCTTAAGGAGACAACATAAAGTTTGTAAGCTTTACCTCCCACCAGTTTGTACATCCTCCAGTATGATTTTATTAAGATACCATGATGCCGAATTTCCTTGTCCACTATTATCATGCCAAATTTTTAATACTGTTGGGTCATTTATTGGTTTAGGAACGCTCATGACAAATTTCCGGATGCTACCAACATCAAAACCCTATAATATAAACAAAATCACTTGGTTAACCCCGTCAAATAATAATTTGTCTGTCCGTAGCCTCGTCAATCGTCATTTTGTGTCACATCTAATTTTTGTCTATTGTTTGAAAAATTTGCAGTGTTCATGGCAGACCTTTGCATTGCTTCCATTAAGGTGTGTAAAAATTCTTAATAGACTAATAGACGGCTAATATCTAGCAACATATAGATATATATGTCCATTGTTGATGACTGAATGCTGCCCTCTAGATATTTTATCTTATAGTTTTTCGGTTGTTATTTCATTAACATATACTAATAACTAAATTTTAGTCATAGCAAACATAGTGATCTCATGTGCATCGGAATGGTAAGCACAGGTTGCACCCATTTTGTTGATCAATGTACGTACACATTCGGAGAAACATTTCACTAGATGATGTCATTATTGAAGAAAAGAAGACGGAAATTTGATCATGATTATTAAACCACGATAAGTTATCATTTACTTTTACTACGGGTTAAATGCTAGAACATTAAAGGATTAATAATTGAAAAACACTTCAATATCTAAGACTTGGTATGCGTATTTGGTAACAGTCGTTTATCTCTCTGGCAAATGTCATTGTATAATGAATGTCATTTAACGATGCGTTGTAACTAAAGATATCTTTGTAGGTCAGTTACTATGCTATCTGCTTGTACCGTTGTGAGGATCTGTAATGAAACCGTATAACAAAACCACGTTGACTTATTCCTGTTTGCAACATCAGGATGGCATATAATTAAGATTTGCATTGTTAAGTCTAGGAAATATTGAATCGCAACAATTTTCACATATTTAAGATATATACCGTTTATGATGCACTTTTTTATCATAATTTTAATGACTAGCGTTAACTGTGAATCCGTGCTGTCAACTTCAAATCAAAAGATCAGGAAATATACATGCTCCCCCCTTTTTGACATCTGTAGCGTAATGTATCGTATCAATTTTTTCAGATCGTGAATGAACTGTAATTGTTAACATTGTTGTCCTCTGTTTGTTTTTTGTGGTTACATAGGCAATCATACCACATTATGTTTTTATAACAACTGTATTTCAAAAAGAGAAGTAAGAGGTTTCTTTTAAAAGGTTCCATTTTATTCCTAAATATAAATCATAAGAACGGGTTTTTTAAGCGAAATAAACAATAAGCGAATAAAATACTCACTCGATGTGTTTCGTCATCTAATATTCTTACATCTGGTTCATAAAAATGGCTATTCTTTGGTTTGCCATTAATTATCATGAAACCTATTCTGGATTTTGTTCCAGCATTTCTGTGTAGTCCTGTGAACACCGTCAGAATGTACAAGTAATCGTCGTAAGGACCGTTGTCACTCAGGTATGATAGAGCCCACTGAAAGATTTACATTAACACTTATAATTAGGGTTCGTTGATTTTTTCTTCATTTTAATAAAGAAGCTACCCGTTTATTTCTTTATAATAGATAATAAGATGGACCTTTGCGGGTTTTAAATTTCATACAATGATTACAATAATTTTTGTTATGACAATGAAATAGTTATAAAATAAAATACAACACTATAGAACACTGCATAGCTATTGCATGCACATGGAAGAGAAAGTTAATATGGGAGACAATCAATAAATATGTAAGGATTATTTCCCTTTGAACAGTATCTAATAATCTTTGAAGACATGGTTTTCAGAGTTGCATAAAAAAGAAGCTCCAACTGATTACATATAAGGGTAGTTTTCTCCCATGTACACACAGTAAACAATAAGTAAATATTTATGTAGATGATGTTGCAATAACTTGATAAGCACCTTTACAAATTTGACTGTAGTTCATACATGTTGATTAATTGATCGATGATTGCTATTTCAAGTGGTAAATGTTTCATGCATGTTCAAGAAAAGAACAAACTAACAAACAGATGCAATAAATAGGTCCGATAATTGAGGTCGTCTGGATGAAGGTTAAAATGAATTTGGACTGCCAATGGAAAATGAGGGTATATCGGATAGGGACAGAAATTTGGCTTGCAACTAATGAAATGTATATCTTTAGAATGCATTCTATCATCATCGAATGGGCTACCATATCTACTATGTATAGAATGCATGCTATTATCATCGAATGGGTTACCATAGCTACTATGTATAGAATGCATGCTATCATCATCGAAAGGGCTACCAAAGCTACTATGTATAGAATGCATGCTATCATCATCGAATGGGCTACCATAGCTACTATGTATAGAATGCATGCTATCATCATCGAATGGGCTACCATAGCTACTATGTATAGAATGCATGCTATTATCATCGAATGGGTTACCATAGCTACTATGTATAGAATGCATGCTATCATCATCGAAAGGGCTACTATAGCTACTATGTATATGATGTTTATATGTTGTATGCGTCTGATCGATGCTATAGCTTGTATTTAATACGGTTATATGCTCATAGGAATTTCCAAAAAGGAGGAAACAGGCGTTACGTATACGTTGTTACTTTAATTGTTGTAGAGTTGTAATTGACAAAAAGCAATGTGGATAAAGATAAGGTATAATTATTTCAAGTGATGAAAATTAAGCTTTGTTTCTCCTCTGTTTGCATGTTGTGCTATTCTCTTTATTTGACTTTCTCTGAATCAATTCTATCATTTACTTTGAATATTGTGAATTTTGCCGATTACATATAATCTTTTTTTTTAAGTATATATACTTTGTCAAATGTTTTATAAATAGGCCAATTACATTACCCTTGTGTGATCCTTTCTGTCCTGTCTGAATGCCCATACACATAACAAACTATATAACAGTACTAGTGATAAAACAGTTGCAAACACCGCTGCATTGTTTTTCAAATCAAACTTTTCAAAAACACTTCCAAAATCGATTGTGTTTGGAGGCACGTAGAAAGTTGTGGCAAAACTATTTCCTGGTGGATTGGAACACTCACAAACAGTCTCATTGATAGTTGATGCAGCAGAAAGCTAAATAAAAGAAAAAATGGGCGTATGAAGTATCATTAATTAAAGCTATAAGTATAACCTCGACCGGAGTCGCTGACATCATACTCATTTTTATAAGGTTTGTATTACTCAGTCTTTAGTTTTCTGTGTAGTGTGTTTTAGACTGTTGTTTGTCTTTCCATCGTTTAAGTTTTTTACCATTTCCATTGCTGTATCCTCGAATTTTGAATTTTGTCAATCCGTTTTGTTATTTATTTCTTCTTTTTAACATGACATTAAAAAAACATAAAGTATTGTAAAAAAACACTTTATGAATTCAGGGCTTGCGAAGCGCGTTTTTTGGGTTTACTTTCATCTGGAACGCAGAAACCCATTCATTTAAAAATCAGTGAATGTAACAATACACGAGGAGTTACAAACGAAAAAGCGGAACTTAACAGGGTTGCATAAACCAACACGAGGTCAACTTTGTCTTTGGAAGGTCAAACTTTATATTCATAATTCCTTAAGTGATCAACAGTAAATCCAATCAATGTATATAATTATTCTAGTCAGTCCCAAAGATATGACTACCTGGCTGCATGTTATACCTTTGGGACAGATAAAATGTTCAACATCGATAGTTTCCAGTGCTAGAAAATGATTATTACGTATAAATCTGCTTCGTTCGGGTGTTGGAATGGTTATTATCAAGCTTAAGACAATAATTGCGATTTTTAAAAATAAGGTAAAACAAATAACATGCCATGATGTCTGCGACAAAAAAATAATCATTGTGGCTTCTTATATATATTTGAAAGCGATATAATCATAACATACGTCCACGTCAACCTTAATGATAAACAACAAATCGCGCGCTGAAGGAAGAGTAACTTCTTTGTCTATAAAATCTATTTTTCTAAATGAAAATGCATGTCGTTTCGATACGCATTTTCAAATAGACCCTATCAGGAGCAAACAGGGCATAGAGCTAGAGTGCAAAAATATGGAACAACTATGTAATGGACTGAATACCCAATTGAAATAGGACTACATCAATCATTACAGAAAAAGGGTTCACCATAATCTTACTTGACACGACATTTTGTCCCATTTCTGCTTTACAGTATCCCATACTCTACAACCAACAGTAGCACTAATAATTTCATAAGCAACAATAGTAGTACTATATGATCGTCTTTGCCTGGTTAATGTAGGGGCGGAATATGTTTCTGTCAATAAAAGCTCTAGAATTATTATGTTATAATGAATAAAATTATAAAAAACTATCTATTTGTATCAAAGTGTGTGTTTTATTGTACTCATGTTGATATGTTCGGTCTTGCACACGTTTTGTTATTTTGAATTTTTCAATATAGTATTATAAATTAATCTTTACAAGAAAAAATGTATGATTGCAAATGAGACAACTATCCACTGGAGACAAATGTTGGAGAAGTATATGACCACCGTAGGATCCAAGACAATATAAGCAGAACCTATAACATATGGTAAGTTACAAAATTATTACGTAATGTTTTATATTTGACTTATAAGGTTAATTTGCATATTGCAATACGTCGTCAGTACTTGTCATTTCAAATGTTTCATTTATTGATTTGTAAGCGTTTGCTTTCTTTTATATTCTCGTTAGTTGTCATTGCGATTAAATGAAGTATCAACATTCATGAAAACAAAAAATGACTTAAATAACCTCGGTGATTACCAATAAATGCAAACTCTTACACGTGTGTTTGAGTTTTTCTCTATTCTAAAAAGTTTAATAGATATACCTTTTCGAAGAAGGACTCCAATATACACATTTGTTGGGGCTGTGTATAGTCCGCCGTCGAGTATTACTTTTATTTCGTTGGAGCTTAACCAGTCGCTGTATTCTGTAACTTTCTTCCAGTCATATTCGTCTTCCGTTGGAGCTTCTGTCATCCGAATGTAAATCGTGTGATTAAGGTGGTTCATTGCGTTATTTATACTGATTATCAAACTGTCTGCAGGTGTCTTCCAGTACATTTTGTACACTAGCATCTGTGAAGTGGTCTCATTTTTATCAACTGGAATGGCTACTTTGATAGTTTTTCTTGTTGGTACTAAACCAGTATTCTGAAGTTTGATTTTCGATGGTATTGCTGAGTTTGTTGTATTGCCTTCTCCCACTGACACAGTGACGGTCTTAGATGATATGAACTTAGACTCCTCATCCCACGAAAATGGTGTGTGGTCATATAATGTTACCTTTTAAGAACAAATACTATCCTTAGTTATATAGAAAAGTAGGTTAGACACTTATGTGATTCATATTAACTCGTGGACATAAAAAAAAGATGTAGTATAATCCCCAATGAGACAACTGTCCACAAGAGAACAAATGACACAGAAATTAACAACTTTACGTACGACTCCACTGCAACTATTTCCTTTTTTGTGTTATCATTTATTGGTTTTGTTAATATTACTACACTTATATCAACGAATAACAGTAAATGATCTCTATACAATATGTCATATAGTAGACATATGTCGATACTTTGCATCAAGATGTAAACCTACTTGAACTCACACTGGTTGTTAACATCATTAACAGACATGACAGAATCGAAAAATATCTACAACACAATTAGGATGAATATTTTTTCACGTTTCCCTTTCTTTTGTTTCGATATATAGTATTGACCAATCATAACAATTACTGTTTAAAATCTCTTATTAATGTGTTTACCTGTATGTCTTGCTCTTTTGTTGACTGTGAAATTGATTCTACAAAACTTAAATCTACTTCATTGATTTGAAACCCTTTCTGAATCAACTCTCCAATCAGTTTCTTGTCTTCAGTGGAATTGATGTGTCCATTTTGAACGTAAACAGGCATCTGTTTACGAAAGTTCAACATCTGAAGCACCTGACCTAAGTAGGAAATACTGTCCAATAGTACTTGAACCTCGTTTTTTACCTACATATAGAATTTGTCCAGCATAGATTGACAAAATAAAATACATTTAAGCTCAAACGTTCATTTGTAAAAGATCACGAAAATAAAGTTAACATTCAAGACCATAGCAATTTTCCTTTAATCGTATTTAGAAGGTAAGGAGTATTGGTCTGCCTTATATGATGTCAGAAACATGTCGACAAGAAAAAGAGAACAATTGGTTCAAACAAGAATGTCAATTGTTTGTTGATAAATACACATCCAAAACGTAACGAATATGTATATATGAACGTCACTAAAATACGTCACTTTTTTGTGGCGTTGATCTATTCATGTGATGCGCAGTTATTAAGTATTCCGTTTCTATGTATTTTGACGTTGTTTTTTTTTTTTTGCAGTTCAGTGTTTCTGTTGTTTCGTTGTTTTACTCATACAGTTGATGTGTTTCGCTCTGTTTTAGTTTGTAACCCGGATTTGTTTTCGCTTTATCGATTTTTGAACAGCGATATACTACTGTGGTCTTTGATTATCTTTTTTTTTCTCGAAATTTCGATTTTTTTTTTTAAATATGTCTAACAATGGTAAATAGCCGAAGTCAAGTATTTTCTAAATAAACTTAAATTGCAATAATGATTTTTAAACAAACCAAAGTACCTTTACTATATGCTATTTTGTGATGGTGGTGAAATTCTTGTATAGCAAATTAATCTATATTTTAACTGTGTAAAATAAATCAGCTTTAATTGCTTACATCGTCATTTTTTATATCCGCATCCAGTTCATTCTTCATAGCAATCTGTGAAGCAATAAATGCTCTTTCTGCAGGAGTAAGATCAGCGTTGTTTGGTTCAGATAACTCCTGTCTGCTAGAGATATCCGACATTATGGTATATATATCTAATGTTGTTGGTGTATCCACTGATGTCTTGGGTAATATGGCTTCCAAAGCATTGTTCAGGACCCTTAGCATACCTGAAATGATAGTATTTGTCACCAAAGTTTTTTTTTTTTTAATTGAGAGATGTGGTTAGAGTGAGACAGTTTTACATCTGGACATTTAGAAAATAACAAAGCATGTTCGATATTTGTAACTTGAGGGTGTATATGATTTGTTTTAGAACTGGTAACTTACTATATAAATAGGTTTAGGGATATGGGATATTTTAGATAAATATTAAGAAATATAATGAAGCTCTTGTTTTTTTATCTTTCCTTCCAATATTTCGAAAAAAAACTAACAAATATTTAGATCAACTGCATTCTGTCTAAATTTTTTCACTTACGATTTGCCAAATTTGTTTGTGTAAGCTGGTCATACAAATGAGAGGATAAGCTAGCATTAAAACCAGGTTTATATATTTTCTACACAAGAAAATGCCTGTAACAATGGCATATGTTTTACATTCGTTGGTGTGTAAGAGCTTTAGATTTTTCCATTTTACAATACAAAGGTCTTTCCGTTTAAGATTTTTTATTGGAGTTCATTATTGCATACATCATATATAGATATAAGAAGATGTGGTATGAGTGCCAATGACACAACTCTCCATCCAAGTTTCAATTTATAAAAATCATGTTTAGTTTTAAGATATTACCTTGGCACGTAGAAATATAATCTTCATACTTTGGATATGTCTCATTACTGGACAACTTTACAAGTTTTTCCAATAGACCTTTATTTCCGTCAAATGCCTGGGACTACAAAATGTACAAATATAAACAAACTATTATTATAATAAAGATTTACCATGTTTTTCAGAAAAATTATTTAAAAAACCATAGATTATTGAAATTTAAATATATATATGTAAGTAGCATTTAAAGTCTAAAAGTAAAACTCAAATATTAAGACTGAAATTAAGTACTGAGATGGAGGCAGTACAATGAGATGTGAAACAATTGTACCCAATGCAGCTACAGTTTACCGCTGTTCAAAAGTCATCAATCGATTGAGTGAAAAAAAATCCTGGTTACAAACTAAAACCGAGGGAAACACATCAGAACAACAGAAACACTATATGCAATAAAAGAAAAATTTGAAATAAAAATGACCAGTGAAAACTAATGTTTATACACAAGAAAATGCCTGTACCAAGTCAGGAATATGACAGTTGTTTGCCATTTGTTTGATGTGTTTGAGCTTTTGATTTTTTCAATTTGATTACGAACTTTCCGTTTTGAATTTTCTTCGGTGTTCGGTATTTGTGTTATTTTACTTTTTATATCTTGATTAGTGAGTTTTATTCACTAAATAGTGAGCAGTTAAGAGTTCTTAAAATCATTAAAAAAAGAATGTCCTACTTAAAATTGTTCGGTAGAATGTGGTACAACTTCCTACAAAACTTACATACAATAAGATTGAGAATGGATATGGGGAATGTGTCAAAGAGACAACAACCCGACCATAGAGCAAACAACAGCTGAAAGCCACCAATGGGTCCTCAATGCAGCGAGAAACTCCCGCACCGGAGGCGTCCTTCAGCTGGCCCCTAAATGCATACTTTAATATTTTCTTGACGCTTGACACAACAATGGATATTAGCCCAAGGTGGAGGTCTTCTCCTCGGCAAACCCGATACCCCATGGTATGTAAAACAACAAACAAACAGTAACACCACATTGTCTATAATGTAATGTATTTTTTAACACATTTTGTCTCGAACTGTCTGAAAAAAAAATACAGTTCGTATGTTTGATCAACTCACCCAAATAAGTAATTAACTAAATCCTGTACTTTATTTTTTATTCTGTGTTTAGTCACCACTTCGGTGTTGACATGAACATCAATTATATAGTCATTTTTAAAAAGTTACTGTTTGCAAAAGTACGAATTATTCTAAATACTAAGGATTTTCTTATCCCAAGCATAGATAACCTCAGCCGTATTTGGCACAACTTTTTGGAATTTTGGGTTATCAGTGCTCTTCAACTTTGTAATTGTTTGGCTTTCTTTACTATTTGAATCTGAGCGTCACTGGTGAGTCTTATGTAGACGAAACGCACGTATGGTGTATTAAATTATAAGCCTGGTACCTTTGATAACTATTAGCATGTCGAAATGTCCTATTGTAATCTTTATTTGTGTATTTCTCTGTCCGTAATGTTCTTGCATTTATTTGTACTGTAGTCCTGTCATGTAGTGTTATCATTTTAGTGTTATATTTCACATTGCCATAAAAGCGCGAGGTTTGGCTAGCCGCAAAACCAGGTTCAACCCACCAAAAAATGTCCTGTACCAAGTTAGGAAAATGGCAGTTGCTATCTTATAGTTTGCTTTTTGTGTGTGTTGCATTGTCGTTTTGGTTTTTTGTTGCACTTCAGTGTTTCTGTTGTTTCGTTGTTTTCCTCTTATAGTTGATGTGTTTACCTCAGTTTAAGTTTGTAAGTTTGTAAGCCGGATTTGTTTTCTCTAAATCGATTCATGACTTTTGAACAGCGGTATACTACTGTTGCCTTTATTAATCCGTTTGATAAGTTTAAGCTTTTGGTTTTGCCATTTCATAAGAGACTTTCCGTTCAAACTTTTCCTCTGCGTTCGGTATTGATGTGATTTTACTTTTTTTCATACGTGACAGTATTTGATACTAAAGCAAATTTCGGTTAACATTCGACTTACTACCCAAATCCTGATATCTTGTGATAGTATTGCTAGAACATCTCCAGATGCCAGAAAATTGAAGGAATTACCGAAGCTGTCTTAATCCTGATTTGTACATACTGTCTAAGTTGGAGTTAACATAACGGGTAATGCATGCATATAAAAACATCCTTGCCCTGGTAATGCACCAGCCGTTCGCGTTCTTTTTTGGAGTCATTGGGATTCCTTTAGTTTGTTTTTAGCGTCATTTTTATCTAGAAAGAATAATAAATAAAACTTACAGCTGAGGAATTTGCGGTGAATAGCTTGTTTCCAATGATTGTACCAATACTGTTAGCAACCTGGTCTAAATTCACAGTGGATGTTCCATCACTTGCATTAGATGTTTCAGCCAGTATCGTGGAAAAAGTTGTCAATTGCTAAAATAAATTGGAGCATCTATAAGCTATAGTGAAACTATTTATACGCGAGTTTAGGGTTAAAACATTGCATATCTTAGGTGTATATATTCAAATAATTTTAAAATAATGATATCAAAATATGTTATTTGATGCAATATTCACAATATTGAATTATATAACCGCTTTTTATTTCATTTTATGTCGATTAATAAAGTTAATTCCTGTTGTTTTTATCAGTATCCCCCACACCTAAAACAAAATCTCTATTTGAAAAATTGCGGATTGTTTCTGCAAAAGAAGCACATGAAAAGGAAAGTAACCATGTAAGGTATAAATAAAAAAAACGATCAGTTGAAATACTGCTTGAAGAAAAAGTTCATGCACACATAATTAAAATTTTATGCTCGGTATATGCAAAACTAACACATGAATATCCGAAAATAGCAAACCTACCTGTCAAATAAAAGAAAAAAAAATTGACTCATTGGCATGTAACATATACCACCTATATCTCTTTAAAAAGGAAAGAGTAATTGGCCAATTTTTAGAGTAGTCTGAAATGATATCAAAATAAAAAGCGTACCTGGATGTAAAGAAGGCAAATCGACAAAAACGGAGTCTCACATAATCTAATAAAATTGAGAATGGAAATGGGGAATGTGTCAAAGAGACAACAACCCGATTATAGAGCACTCAACAGCCGAAGGCCACCAATGGGTCTTCAATGCAGCGAGAAACTCCCGCACCCGGAGGCGTCCTTCAGCTGGCCCCTAAATAAATATGTATACTAGTTCAGTGATAATGGACGTCATATTAAACTCCAAATTATAAACAGGAAACTAAAATTAAAAATGATACAAGACTGACAAAGGCCAGAGGCTCCTGACTTGGGACAGGCGCAAAAATGCGGCGGGGTTAAACATGTTTTTTGAGATCTCAACCCTCCCCCTATACCTCTAGCCAATGTAGAAAAAACAAACGCACAAAAGTACGCACAGTAAAACTCAGTATAAGAGAAGTCCGAGTCCGATGTCAGAATAGGAAACAACAGAAAATAAACAGAATGACAATAATACATAAATAACAACAAACTACTAGCAGTTACTGACATGCCAGCTCTAGACCTCAATTAAACTGATTGAAAGATTATGTCTTCATCATATGAATATCAGGCACAATCCCTCCTGTTAGGGGTTTAGTATTATACCGTCTTAAAATATATGAGAAGAACATAACCCGTGTCATGCCAACAACTGGATTCAGAATAAATGTGTTTAATTCCGATGCAAAGACCCTATAAGTGTATCAATATTAAAGCCAAAATATGCAATCTTTAATGACATGACAACAGTATCGTAACTATAAGTCTGTTTAAAGGTTTTGTTAGCTTTTGAGGTGAATACTGACATTTTTGTGCTTTGTAAAGTATAATACCATAAAAGATTGGATGTGAAATACCCGAACGTATAAGACGTCTGCATGTTGAGTTATATTTACGAATGATGTCCTTATACCGATGATAAAATTTAATAAATGTTTTGACTAGTTTATGATATCGAAAACCCTGGTGTAATAATTTTTCAGTAATACATAAATTTCTCTCGCTAAAATCTAATGCGTTGCTACATACACGAGCGAATCGTACAAGTTGAGATATATAAACACCAGAAGATGGTGACAAGGGAACGTCACCATCTAAAAATGAATAATTAACGATAGGAAATGAAAAATCTTCTCTTTTATCCTAAATGTTTGTATTAAGCTTCCCATTAATGATATAGATATCAAGATCGAGGAAAGGACAGTGGTCATTGTTAGTATTAGCTTTATTTAAAGAAAGTTCAACAGGATAAATTTCTTTTGTATACATACTGAAGTCGTCATTATTGAGAGCCAATATATCATCCAAATATCTAAAAGTATTGTTAATTTTTTGTATCAGATGTTGTTTCGATGGGTCTTTGCTGATTTGAGTCATAAATTGTAACTCATAACAATACAAAAACAGGTCTGCAATAAGTGGTGCACAGTTAGTCCCCATTGGAATTCTGATAACTTGACGATATACGGAATCTCCAAAGCGAACAAAAATGTTATCAAGTAAAAATGCAAGGGCAGATATAGTATCAAAGCATGTCCAATTGACATAGTTCTTTTGTTTGTTGCTACTAAAAAATGACCTAAAATAGTTTGAACATATGTATGTATTCGCATTCCGACTTTTTAAATGCCCATTTAATCAGGTGTGTGAATTTTTTCTTAATAAGAATATGAGGCAAAGTGGTGTATAGGGTAGAAAAATCAAAACTTTGAACAGATTCAAAATCACCAATATATGCATGCAATTTATCAAGTACTTCCAACGAGTTTTGGACACTCCAAAAGTAATTAATTCCACTATTTTCAAAGGCCTTATTTGAACAATTTATTATCAGGTTTTTTATTGTACCAAGTGTACTAGTAAGTAGAAAAGACAATTTAGTAGTGGAACAATGACTTGAAGACGAAATAAATCTATATTTGTAAGGTGATTTGTGTAGCTTCGGAAGCCAGTACATAGTTGGGACTTTCATTGTATTTGGTTCTGGTTGGATAGAAGTAGCTAATAGGTTATGTTTGTTACAGATATCGTTTTCTGAAAATGAAGTCAGTTGGAATTTTCGTGAATCCGTGATTTCCTTTTGCAGAACCTCAATGTAAAATTTACGTCAAACTATAATGATATTATTAGCAGCTTTATCGGCCGGGACAAAAACAAATTCCTTGGCTAGTTCTTTTAGTTTATGTTTGATACAAGAAATAGGATTTTTATGGTTGTTGTTAAGAGTAAAATGTTCTTTAAAATGTTGTATACGTATATCAACTATCTCCATTACTGAATTAAAAAAAGAGCCCAAAGATTTTTTGCCAGCTTTTTCCCGTTTTATCCATTTCAAACAGTAAGCACGAAGTGAGTCGTGGATGATATTACGACACTCATTCCAATTAATAATTGACGGGGGGAGGGGGGGGGGGGGTGGCGATATTTAGGTCCTTTACTGAGGAATGATTTTAACTCTCGGTCGCGAACGATGTTAAGGTCTCCTGTTATAACATGGGAAATGGGGCCATAAGTGTATTCGGAAATACTACAATTACATGAAGTAGGTGTATTTTCACTGATATTTACATCTTTACAGACTTGGCTATAATTAAACACAAATTTCCGGGTAGATTTCTTGTAAATATAACAAATAAGAGGAGTTCAGTATTATCAAAATATCCAGGAATTTGTTCTTCAACAGAATGGTCGTTTAAAATACCGGCAATATTTACAAAATCAAAACCTTTATTGACATACTTTATTTTACTGAAATGTTTTTATGATCTTCAGGGCGATCATTTTATTTTGAGAAACAGTTTAGAATAACAATATGCCATTATAATTTGAACGATTTCATACTTAGGACTGCAATATGAAATTGTGTTGCAATACTCTAAAATTTTATTTAATTTATTTATAGGTAAAGAACAGAGCTTTGTTAATAGATAATGTCTGCCGTTGTTTTTTGAAATAGCATTTAGATCCGAAATATTTGTATGGTTGGCCCGAAATTTTCTTTGATTGCGATTTTTTCTACGCCCATGAGAACGGTTTTTACGAACAGTTTTAGAAACTATATCCAAAATGTTAACAGAATCGGTTCTTGATATATTACCAATTCCCATGATATTATCATTAAGACCGAGAGGGTAGACTGTCTATAATATTTTAATCCAATTTAATTCGATTATTTTCCGTGATCGTACAAACTTTGAATGAGATTCACCAGGCTGCTTATTTACTACTTCTAAAGGTTGAACTGTTAAATATTTAATAGGATGATTGTGCTTTTTAAGATGTTGATAAATAATACTTTTGAATTTATTGGGTCTTTTAAAACGATACAGGTGTTCTTGCGTGCGTTTAGATAAATATCGTCCAGTTTCACCTACGTACTGAATACCGCATTCCGGTTTGTTTCATGTGAGTAAATAAATAATACTGTTTGTTTTTCAAGTTATATCAGTTTCAAAATTTAAAGAAAATGTGCGACCATTAAACGTAGACCTTACCGTATTGTTGGTGGAAAGACGGGGACATGTAAGTCATTTTTTGGCATGACAATTATCGATAGAAGGGTAACCACGATTTTTATTGTTAAAAATGTTAGCGATGGTAGTATTTTTAGATAAGCGATTTTGAAGATTGAGACGTGTAGATACCCTTTGAACGAGTTTAGTATTTAATATTTTTCCATTTCTAAGCTTCATATTTGTTTTTTGTAATGTGGATTTTATTAGAAAGGAGCAAAGACTGGCGTCCAGAATATGAAACAGCACACAATAAATTGAATTATGTAAATATGATAAAACTGTTCGGCTAAAGACGTCAAACGCTATCCGTCATAAATTACCCGAAAAATAAAACAAAAGATAGGGTATATCAAGGTAGCGACTGACGTCTGACTAAATAGAAGAATGGGGCTGAATGTTGAAATACTACTTTTTGATAAATATTCCTAAAGTAATGAACATAAAGAAGTTCTCGCTCGGACACACACTCCATAATCTAGTATAGTATAAGAGCATAAACCTGAAGCACGGGGAGGCACTCTACTGTCTCCACACGGCACTAAAGACAAACTCTATAAAAATCAAAATTGAGAATGGAAATGGGGAATGTGTCAAAGAGACAACAACCCGACCATAGAGCAGACAACAGCCGAAGGCCACCAATGGGTCTTAAATGCAGCGAGAAACTCCCGCACCCGGAAGCGTCCTTCAGCTGGTCCCTAAATAAATATGTATACTAGTTCAGTGATAATGGACGTCATATTAAACTCAAAACCATTTTTACAGTCATTAGATAAACATTTTCCGTTTGAAATAACACATTTTTTTAGCAGAATCTGTTATCCATTCTGAGCATCTGAGATCTTCTGTGTTTTCAGTAGGGTGTTAATTCCACTGTTTTTAGTTTCTTAGTACTATTTTGTCTTTCATTTGTTTGGTATTTCTTTTGCAACTGAGTTAATTTCTCTTCCACTAATGAGTACTAAATGACTCTTTGATATCTCCAACCAATGTTTCAATAGTTATCACACATAGTTTTCAAACGAATTTAATATATTCTACCTATTTTAATGCTAAAACACGTTATAAAAAATCTGTAAAATTGATCGGCTAATGAGAAGTTGTTTAAGGTTGATTTAACTCAGATTTTGTCATAAATCTTTAGACAATTAAGATTCTTAAAGAACGGTATCAGAAATCAAGTCATACCAAGAAGCATATTGAAATTTAAAGTTAAGTTATGATATTAAAACTTGATTTCAATAAAGTCAATGTTCTTTTCATATCAATAGGATTACCTCTATTATATCACTTTGTGTGATGACATCTCCATAATCAGGATGTTCATACATATTCCATAGTTCGTCAAATGTTTTTGTAACATTTGTACCATCAGACAGTATTTCTACACCAATATTCACCCATTGTGCAGGTTCAGTATCAAATAGTGTCGTAGTTGAATACTACAAAAACAAATAGTTATTTTAGAAACTAGCAATGTTTTTTAGATTTAGTATTTGTTCTCTTTATCTATTATACCTTTTGGATAGATATGTTGATGCTGTTGTATATAGATATAAGAAGATGGTATGAGTGCCAATGAGATAACTCTTCCTCCAAGTCATAATTTGTAAAAGTAAACCATTATAGGTCAAAGTACGGTCTTCGACATATATGCTTGTATATGTATTTTATTGGTTATCAGATTTGCATATAAATTTTGGCAACTTACTGTTTTATTTCGAGCGACAGGCGTACACAATTATAATTCTAGTATAAGTTGTTATACCACAAATTACACACGCATACATATCTGTCAATATCGAAATTCGAAGGAGACTGAAAGTAAAAGTACTTATGTTTTTGACAAAATTTCTCTGTAATCATTACATAAAATAAAAAAAAAGTTGTTTATTGACTTTGACGTTAGAAAACCAACATACCAAATCCGTCACTGGTGTTCCGGCAACTTCTGCATTCATGGCAACTTGTTTTGCATTCCTGGTTTTCCAGTAATAATCCACGCTTTCAGCAGAGGAATATAAGAATGACGATACACTATTTTGGTCTGATGTGGTATAATTTGGTAAAACCTAAAACGCGCATTAAAAGTGTTGATATGTATAGTTTTGTAAATTATTCAATTATAAAACGAAATTGGTTTTACGCTAGATAATTTTAAAACAATGATCAAATTTTGTGGTAAGGTTATAGATAAAAAAGATGTAGTATGAATGCCAATGAGACAACTCTCCATCCAAGTCATACTTTGTTAAAGTAAACCATTATAAGTCAAAGTACGGCCTTCCACACAGAGCCTTATGTTTATTTTCCGATTATTAAAATATTTGTGTTTTTTAAAAGTTAATATGCATTAGATAATTTATGAGAAGTAATGGACTCGTAAAAGATAATCAACGAACGACATTTGTATTAAGTTGCTTTCCGTTTACCTTGGAGTGCAGTGTTTTTGTAATTTTACTTTACTTTTCACAGTCGTATATTGTTTATATGAAACACTATATATTGTAATATGAATTCATAAACTAATTCAAGGTCTTATAAATCCGAATAATTAGACTGAGTGAATAATAATAGGGACTCGCATTCTGATATCCGCTACATTTCACTGTATGTAGTTTATAGTACTTCAGTTTTATTAATCCGTACAGGTATATAAATGATCTTATCAAACGTAAGGAATGAAATAATGTATCCAAGTTATTCAAAGACAACAGATCTTTGTTACATAATTACCAAAAGAACAGGTGCACGACTAATGACATTTTTTGTCTCAAACTAAAATCTGATTTGACCTGCATTTTTTTTTACATAAAGCAGGATGGTATATTAGAAAAACACGAACAAAGCAGCAAGTAAACGACATTTATCTGTTCAATAATAAAACAATTGTATTTCAAAAGAGGGGCGAAAGATACCAGAGGGACAGTCAAACTCATAGATCGAATAAATTTACAACGCCATGGCTTAAAAAGAAAAAGACAAACAGACAAATTACAGTACACAATACACAACACATAAAACTAAAGACTAAGCAACACGAACTCCACCAAAACCTGGGGGTGATCTCAGGTGCTCCGGAAGGGTAAACAGATCCTGCTCCACATGTGGAACCCGTCGTGTTGTTCATGTTATTATAAACCTGGTAAATAGTCTAATTCGGTAGGTCACATTCGTGAAAACAAATCTGGGGAAGGGGATTGTAGTTACGACATAAGGAACATATCTGATTTCATCTGAGAAACGGTTATTCCATAACGGTCAATCAACTCAAGACATTAAAAATGAAAATCTTTATCATAATAAGACAATAATAATTTTGTGTATATAAAAATGAAAAAAGAGTTGCCATTTTAAATCTTTAATTGCAGATAATTTTAGATTTCAAGTTGTTTTGCATATTTTATGTATTCGATTGATTTATCATAGTTTTGAATTGTAATTGTCATATATACATTAATGTAAGATATATTTTCTTTTATTTATAAAGACATTTAACGATGATAGACGTTTATCTAATACATTCCAATAATTATACAGTTTTATATATGTTTGTTTTGTTCACATATCTTTGTAAATATAATTGAATTTTATGCGTCTGTCATACAAGTGAGAGGTTAAGCTAGCTATAAAACCAGGTTTAATACACCATGTTTTACATAAGGAAACGCCTGTACCAAGTTAGGAAAATGACAGTTGTTATCCATTCGTTTGATCTGTTTGAGCTTTTGATTTTGCCGTTTGAAAAGGGACTTTCCGTTTTGAATTTTCCTCGGATTGAATTATTTTTGTTAGTTTACTTTTTGTACAACTAATAAAGATACCATATGTTTTCTGTTTTCTGTTTAAACGTAAATCTCCTTTTTATATATTTGTGCTCATATTGGTTTTATTTATTTTGTTGATTGTTATTTTTGCATACCTGTTTTTTTCTTAACATCAGTATCCTTATAAATATATATATCTGTCGGATTATTTCTTACGTGTTATACATAAATATGAGGGTTATATCTTATTATTTGTAACATGCGCTTCCGTGTTTTTGTTTTTGTTTATTGCGTCCTTACCTGTCCAATATGTTTGGTACATTCTTTATAATCGATAAAAATATCGAAGATCTGTATCTTTATTGTAACATTATAACCATTTGTATCGATACCAGGCTTTACTTTGATGTAGTTCTCTGCCTCTGCTATAATCAAATATTCGAATAGGTTAGCCCTTAGTTAAAGATGGGTTTTGCATGTTCTCATAATGTTCGGCTAGTTAAAAGAAAAGAATGACAAATTGAAAATATAAAGAAAAGAAGCCACCAGAATTTAACTCATTTGTCCCACAAAAACATTTTTATAAAACGATGATTTACATATTTATCTTCAAATCTTGAGATGTAAATTTGATACCTCATATTTATAAGATTGCATGTGTTTGTCTGTCTGTTAAAGTGTTTGTATATAGCGTATCACCTATACAATAGAGTTGTTGTTTTAGTTCTGGTTATTTAAGTATGTTGTTACTCAAATGTCAGAGTAGGGAGTTAATTTGGTGGCAATAAATTTGACTATATCAATCACACAATTTACAGTCGCTTTGAAAATTAAATTCTAATTTATTTCTAAGCATTGGAATGTTTCTGATATCCCATATTGTGAACATGAGATTTTGTAAGTTGATATCGTTTTAGGCTTCATTTTTTTGTTCCTCGTTCTTTAATTATTCTGTATTTGCCGTTTTATTGTTTGTAAATGTGTTATCTGTCTCGATTAGTTACGAATTTCTTATTAGTAGCTCACACAGTGTTTTGTTTTTAATTGTTAAACTCGATTGAAATCAATTCACCACCCTATCTGAAAAAATAAATCTAAATTTGATTTGTCTAAAATAAGGCAAATATATTCTTATATATGGAAAGATATTTAGAACCTTAATACTTAAAACATAATCAACATAATGACATTATTCCAAACGTAATGTATATGTAACGTACAACCGTAATATAGAAGTGTTTCCTTTCCTTCAGAATTCGTCTGAACTATTCGATAAATAAGCTGTTCTTTCCAGTCATAACTGGTATCAGTTGAGGTTCGAAACCCTTCGTCATTCCATCCATTGGTTGTTACTTTCTTTTCCCCTAAAACGTAATGGATTTTCAGTAATGGTGTTAGTTAAAATGAATATGGTATTTCGTTATAAAATTCAGTAAAAAGTTTTATTAATCAAATGTCACATCACTTATTATCACTATATGATTGGGTGGTCTCGAGGTAGAGTGCTCACGGCCTCTAGTACAGAGAGTCGTAGTCCACATCCTCAATTGGGTCAAACCAAATACTTGAAAATGATATTTGCTTCTTCTTCTGATGCACGGGCATTTTGAACCAATACTTGTTGTAAACTAGGACGTATATAATCCGGCTGTACATGTTGGTCTAGTACAAACAAGGGTTCATATTTAGGTGACACCAACATGTTTACGTTCTAGATATGCATTAAACTTGCAAAGGGATGATAAAAAGCATTGTACCATGTATCCAGGTAAAGTTACAAGGACATTGAAAAACACAAAAGTAGTATGCATTGATATTTGACCTGTTTCAATTTTGAACAATTGATTGAAATTAAGTATTTGTTCTGATTTGAAGAACAGGGGACCATAGAATTAAAGGTGTAAAAACTATAGTCTAAGATTAATAAAATGTATGCAAAAAAACAAACAAACAAAAAACGGATTTTTTACCAAACGAAGCCGCACCACAAAATACTTTTCGGGGTATGCTAAATAATGGAAAACGACTCTCACTTCGTACCCTGCAAATTTACCTATATAGTAGTATGTAAAAATGTCTCAGCATAAAAAAAAAACTAAAAATTATACATATTCAATTTACGACAAGAGCAGATGAATTGAGGAAAGGGGTACCATTACGAAGTTCGAAGTAAGAAGCTCCTGTATAAAACCCGTCTTTTTAGAAGAAAAAAAAAAGAACAATTAGACAAGAATAATTTCACAATGGGTTTCCATTAGAATGCCTATTTGTTGTTTGAAAAAGTTCCTCTAACGTTACAAATATGTTGTTAATAAAAACATAATGCATCTTGATAAAAAAAGGTGTCAATATAAAATGTATGAAGAATCTAGAGAGAATCATTTCTCGCCAAACTTTAAATAGCTTATACATCGAACACAAGAACACTGACCCTTCCATGTTTTAAACCTTTCTAGTTCCTTTATTAATATACTTTAAATTTCTAACAGCATTTAAAGAGCATGTTATTTTGAGATTAGAAAAAAACCCACAAGAGCATTAGAAATAATAAATGAAGATGATGTAGTGACACGTCTGCCAAAAATTAAAGTAAAGAAAAACAATGCATTCTGTCAGCAACAAAGTCCATCTCAGCCAACTTACCCCAGATTGCATCCTCAATCTCACAAGATCCTCCATACGGTAGTATGTTTGTATTGACGGTCCAAATACTTATGCTCGTCTCTCCTGTTGCAAGCTGCATATGAGCCTCTATAAGGTATCCAGCACTCGCATTTAAAACGTTGGCTTGCATAACAAATGCATTAGTATCCGATTCTGCGAATGCAATGAAATAAATCATATAAATTTGATAAATTAACGATAGATTTATGAATGATTTGTTTATAAGAATTATATATAAACATCGTCATGAATTTCACGTTATTGGTAGTATATCTGTTAGACTTAGATCGACACCAGGTCTATAATCGACGTACATTGCTCAAATCGACGTCCAGATATAACGTCACGTTCTCAAATATCGACGTCTAATGTAAAAGAGGGGCGAAAGATACCAGAGGGACATTCATCAATCGAAAATAAACTAACAACGCCATGGCTAAAAAAGAAAAAGACAAACAGATACATAATAGTACAAAAGACACACCACAAAACTAAGCAACACGAACATAACTCAAACCCTTGGGGCAATCCCAGGTGCTCATGAGGATTAAGCAGACCCTACTCCACATGTGGCACCTGCCGTGTTGCTCATGTTATTACAATCCCAGTAATTAGTCTTATTCGGTAGGTTACATTCGTGAAAAGGGAACGGATTGTAGTTACGACATAAGGAACATATCTGATATCATCTGTGAAACGGAAATTTAATTACGGTCAACCACCTCAAGTTGAAGACCATTGAGGTCAACCACCTCATGATGGCGTCCGTAAAATTACGAAGGAATGATTACAACTTCACCATTTGGAACTCTTGTTTTAATAGCTTCCTTGTGAGCAGCAACCCTCTATCGAGGAAATCATGATAGGAAATACAAGCCCGGGAATATCGTATTAATTGGGAGATATATAATATGTATGCAGGCGCTGCTGGAATGTTGCTACATAGAAATGGAAAGTTCACAATTGGGAAGCTAAAATCATCTGTTTTGTCGCGTAAAGTTTTGTTTTTAACTGACCCTCATTGTCAATTTGTTTATATACGTAAAGATATGAGGCAGACTTATCTGTAGTTCGATGGGATAGATGCGTTCAACATAGTCACAACATTTTGAATTATTTAGTAAGAGAACATCATCTATATAGCGGAAATTAAAGTTTAAGAATATTGCTAAATTCTTTTCTTTCTATCTATGAAGTTCCTGTATGAAGTCGGCCAACTTAATGAATCACAAAAACGACGTCCGATTGATGAGGAGACTCTCATCGCAATGTCTAATTTCAAGCAATCATTTATGTTCTAAATTATGAATAAATTCTTTCATGCTTATTTTAACAAGGGAAGGCATTATGTTTGTCAATATCGTTATACCGAATGTAAGCGAAGTGTAAACTGTTGACAAATATAATGCCTACCCATGTTAAAATGAGAAGTAAGCATGGACTAATGTCAAGTTATTATAAATATTTGAAGAAATGGAACAAAACATCTGTTATTCAATTTTTCAAGAATGTGAATTTAAGCATGGATGGAATTTGGATACTCCTCATAATGGAATCCTGGATCGCCGATTAAAAAGTAACAAAAGAAAAATGACGTCGACTAGAGGAGCATACAATTGACCTTCGATTTGGAATGTTATTTTATTGTGACGTCAGATTTGAACGTCAATTTTAGAAACGGACGTCGATTAGAGACTGGATGTCGATCTGAGTCTTAAATATATCTAATTAAGCATAGAGTTATGCTGAAAAAAAAGAATAGATAAAATACCGAATTCCATGGAAATTCAAAACGGAAAGTCCTGATCAAATTGAAAAAATCAGAAGCTCAAACACACCAAAAAAAATTGAAACAACTAGCATACACTTGACTTGGTACAGGCTTGTCGATAAAATATTGGAACTGGAGGATTAAACCTGGTTTTATAGCTAGGTAAACCTCTCACTTGTATGACAGTTGCATAAAATTCCATTATTTTCACAACAATATGTGAACAAAACAAACAGACATAATAGGTAAAATTGTCAAAAATGTATTCAAAGTGTTATGTAGATGTGACCTCCGACGTCTTTTATCAAAAGATTAACATACGAGAAGTGACTTCCCGACAGATGTTATCAAATATTATTTTTCAAATAGTGACTGACTGACAAATTTAATCAAAGTTAAATCCTGAATGCTATGTATAAATAAATTTGTTTGCTTATATCATTACCAGATAGCATCCAAGATTGCCAGTAATCATTTGTTGTTGATATTCTACTGAAGATATCAAAATCTTTGACTTTCCACCAAAATTTAAATCTTTTTTGCTGTTCAAACGTACAAAAGGGACATGTAGCCTTTAACGACATAATAGAAGTCAAAGCAGTCTTCTTCATGCAATTCAACCTGCATCTACAAAAGAGTACATTTTGAAGTCCGGGAGAGAAGCATTAGGTAAGAATTCTATGCATCAGTTCGGGATTGGTAATTTTTAGATCATGTTTGATTGATCAGCTATTTAACTACTGATTTATGTTTTGAAATTTCAAATATTTTTGCCTCGAGCATCATTGAAGAGACATTACTTGTTGGAATGCGCACCAAGCGCAATAAAATTGGTACTGATTTTGTTATAAACCTGCACCGGCAAGTTTAACATGAAGCTATATTCTAATTTTAAACTGTTACATAATAAAGACCATCTTTGCACACAAGTACTGTACTTAGAATACTAATAGAAGAACAAAAAAAAAACCCTCCTGTTCTTTTGGTATCATGTATCAATACATAAATTATGAAGTCTTATTTGGATTAACGTAAAAGGCGCAAAATTCCAAAAGCAAGTGATGTAAAGTACGTAAATAGTTATCAATGGTACCAGGATTATAACCCAATACGCCAGACGCGCGTTTTGTCAACATAAGACTCATCAGTGACGCTCAGATCAAAAAAGTTTTTAAGCCAAACAAGTACAAAGTTGAAGAGCATTGAGGACCCAAAATTCCAAAAAGTTGTGCCAAACAAATTAGTAAAGAGCAATTTGGACAAAAGGAACATAAAAGAATAGCCAAAGTCATCACTTGGCTTGAGGGATTTTATTTTATCAAAACTACTGGGATATATATATATATATAAGCACATTCAGACGCACTTTGTTTCTTCTGTAAGATAAGATCGTTATTTCTGGCACTAATTGTTTTAAAGCGAACTGAACACTTACTCTATTTCCAGTAGTGGAGGATTTCCCAGAACTGACTGCGCATGTTGTATAAAATAACTAACAGACTCCTCAAATTCTACTCTTAAATACACTAAAAATCCCTTTCCCTCTAAGACATCTTGAAAGGTAACATTCAGACTTCCGGTTCCATCTTCGATTCCGTTGAACAATTTACAAGCACTAGAGGGGACCAGATCATCCCCTAGCCAGTCCAAGTAATCTATTTCTTGATTTTTCATTTTATGCCAATCTAATGAGTTAATCTTAGCAAATCCGTTAAAGATGTTTATAAGATAATTCATCAAGCATTGTCCAGAGTCATCAATAATAAGTTTCAAATATCCATCAATTCCTATTACATCTACCAACTCTGTGGCATTTGTTATGTAAGGCTGGACATGTTTAAAGCTATCCAACAAATCTCGCAGTTCGTATGCAAATTGTTTCGATACATTTGCGTTTTTTAGCCATTCTAGTAGATTATCAAAAAATGTAGCATTAGCACTTGCAGGCAACCCAGAAAGTTCACGCAGTTTATACAAACTATCAAGAGTCAATGAGCTATCTGATAACCTTTCAAAAAAGTCGTCTGTATCCCGCAGAAATGCTTCAGATTCTTCATTATATAAATCATGCAGGAATTCTAACATTTCGTTTAAAACAAGTGTGTTATTTCCTGGAATAGGTAGGATATACTCTAAGTCTTCCAATTCGGATTTAGGATTTAACTCCATTTCAGACATAAATTCAATTTCAAAAAATCGCGTCAGAGCTATCAGATCATAAGGAGTCGCTGTCGTAGCTGCCTCCTCTGTTGTTGTCATTGCTTCAATTGTTGTCCAATTACTCCAGGTACTAACACTATTCTCTCCTTGATTTACCGTCGTTTCTATTGTTGTCATTACTGATGTTGTAACTTGGCTCCCATTCCATGTACTGTATATTGATGTCGATGAAATATTATCGAATGCTTCTGTTGTTTCGTCATTCTGTTCTTTGGTGCGAGGATATTTATAAAGTTCAGTCATGACGTAAAACTCACTTCCTTTCATGCATGTGGAATTAGAATTTTGTAGGTTATTTACAACGGTGTAAAGTGTAGACTCATTGATGAACGCGAGTTTGTTTTCTATATATGGAACAAAGTTAGTTTCGTACCATTTCTTTTTATAGTCACTTTTATCCTTAAAAGCTAATACTGGTGCAATATTAAATTGCAGTAGATTATAGATATTATTTGTAACAAAATTAAGACATTTCCAAGAAAAAATAAGACCAGAAGGATCATCGGGGCCTTTAGTTATACTATACGACACAGAACGAGCGTCAAATTCTGAGAGTCCTTGTCCAATAGTCCTTCCAGCTCCACCTTTTATAAATGCATGTGGTGGTGGTTGTTCTATTTTCACAAACATTGATTCTTCCATCCAGTCTGTCATGCTTGCAGGATATCCTATTCTTGCATACAAACGATAATATCCTATTTCATGTTGCCCTGGGTTAAACTTGAACTTCACACTGTATTCCTTCCCTCCGACCTGCACTTCTGTATTATCAGTTATGTTTGTTATCTTGTATAATGCAAAATAAGTGTGAATTATAGTTGCCGTTGTACAATTGTTTTTCGTCAGAAGATATATATCTACTTGTGCTGAGGTATAAATTGACATAGCATTTTCTATTTTGAGAAATTTGTCGCTAAAGATTTGGTATGTAAGACATGGAGGCACAACTGCAAAATACAGCAAAGTATAACATTAAAAGGTATCGAAAACAAAAATATGCAATGGAGAATAGAAATTTTGGAAAACAATAAATTAAAGTATCGATCTCAAAAATAAATTACAGAGAGAGATAGAGAGACGATTTATATTTACTGTCCTTCAATCACAATCGACTCACCTTGTAAAAAAACATATTTAGTTTTTTTTTTCGTCCTGAATCCACATGACATATCTGCCACTTTGTGTTAATAACATAAAACAGACAAATAACAATCGAAGGCGTTCGTCGAAGTTCAGGTAGTATTATTTGTCCAGTACGATAACAACGTACGGAATTGTTTAGTCTTTTTTTTTTATCGGGATGAACAATATTGCCAAATGGTTGTTCCCTCAAAGAGAATTTCAAATCAATATTTTTTAGACAAAAATAAATTGCGAAATTGTTCTATATAAATGGACTACTCATGGCTTGAGATATTGATTGGTTAATAGATTATGGATGAATCATGAAAAACAGGCGATGCACAACCTCTTTAATAATTCAGTTTTGATTCATAGTGGTGTTGTCACTCCCTTAGTTTTTGTTTGGTTTTAGTCTAAAAAATAATTCTGAATGAATTTATCACATTTGAACATGTCTCAAATTTTCATCACATTATATCTTCAATAAATTATATTCTTAACCATACTGTACTCGTAAAAATCGCATTTACTACGATTTAACTAGGTATTTGTTATAAAACTATACAAATATAACACTTGTCTATTTTTTTAATATGTTTCAGGAACATTCGGTATAGGCAAATAGTCAGCTGTAATCAAGCAATATTAATTAACATAGAACCTCATTTTGAGTTAAATATCTAAAAAGTTCTAGTATTCCTCACCTCTGCAATTTCCTTCAGTCTGATTTTCTCCTTTGCAATAATCGCCTCCACAAATATTAACTGGACTGTCACAATTTCGTGAGCGTAGATAAATACCAGTTCCGTAAATGCCAGAGTTAGGTTTTGTGCAGTTCCCCCAAGCTCCCCATTCTCCCCATTGTCCTGTCACAGGTTCTAGTGAAAAAACATAAAATGCATTTAACATTTTACTTCTTTGTATGGTCAATTATTTTGTTTCTTAGCGGTAAATGTCGAATTTACTTTATATAAAAACGGTGTTTTCAAATTGGATTATGTTTTTTTTTAAAATGTACATGTTCTGATGTCTCATGTAGTTTGTGATTACTTAGAATTGTTAATGAGACCTACATTATCCGCTAATATACGATGTTTTGAATTGGGAATATATGTGAAATTTGTAGAAAAGTCATATCTTTTAAATAAAATTGTAAGATGAAAGAGTCTTATATTTAATGTACTCTTAAATATCTTTGAAGCTGTTTAGTATCCATATCTGATTCATGGCACCTTTAGAATATGTAGTTTCACTATTACGTAGAAGCCCGGCTTTGATTTCGGATAACATGTATGGTAATAATTTAAAAGGTGGTTTATGGAGCACTAGGCAGACACAGCAATATAACGTTGTTTGTAATGACCCTTGTGTATTTTAGGTATTTATACAGTGAAGGAAGATCCAGTTATTCATCTATGGTTGAAATTCAAAGGAAACATAAAACAGACCTAAGATTATCCAGGATGTCCTCCTTGGTAACTTGGTAAGTGTCGAGGGAGTATATGTTGAAAAAAACAATTATTTTCGAGGAATAATTTGATTAAGAGTGATCTGATTTGAATAAATGATAATTAAGATCATACAATGTCGTTATCAGAAATCTAAATTCTAAACAAATTTATATTCAAAATAAACTGAATCGCTGAATTGATAAATTAAAAACAATCTCCTCTAGAATCCAATTTGTTCAAAAAGAAAATTCGATTAAAAGTACAGTTTTTTTTTTCTTTTGATAAATAAGATTAATCGGAAATAAACTTATACTGAGAATTCATTATTAACAAATACAATATTATGACTAGTATGAACATAGATCAATCAATAGGGATAAATAGATGACTTAGTATCCTAGAAATACAGGAAAATTTACATATGGATTCATTTAACATTTTTTATTTGGAAAATCAGACTTAAAATCAATTAAAAATATTTAGATGTGAAATTATTAATATATAATGCTCCAACGAAAAAGCTTGTATTGCAATGCAAAATAACAAAGGCTGATCAGTATACGTTTTGTGATTAAGAAGAAAAGTATTTACATTATTATCTATATTATTCATATTTGACCAGATTTTGTCAAGAAACTTATGATCTGTTCATCAGAAGTTGAATATTTATTTTTATTTAATTACAATATTTTATACTATATCTGTAATTACATTGTTATCTACAAGTCATATTATGTATCAGAGCAGAGCACACACATCATTTTTGTCTGCAGTATTTTCGAAGAGGAATTTAATAAGAGTAAATACAAATTGATATAAATCAGTATGTCCAATTTTATTTTCAATTAAAAAAATTATTGACAATTAACAAATAGTCTTATTATAGGACACTTATACATTTGTATAAGTTTAAAAGTTGTCTCAGCTGATTATTTTCCTTTATAATCAGAGTAGTTTAACATGATACATCAAGATAAACTATGACTCTTAGACAACTTTGTAACTAGCAATTAGATATCAGAAGATGTGGTATGAGTACCAATGAGACAACTCTCAATCCAAGTCACAATTTGTAAAAGTAAACCATTATAGGTCAAAGTACGGTTTTCAACACAGAATCTAGGCTCACACCGAACAGTAAACTATTAAGAGAAAACGACAACCACTGAACATCAGGTTCCTTTGATAAATAAATCATATCGCATATTCCTATGATTTTAATTCATTTATGATTTGCACCACGTTACTTCTGCCCTTTTGATGAAATCGTCATTTTTAAAAAGAATTTGGGCGAACACTTTAGAAAGCATGTAAAATAATAGTTATTCAACCTGAACATTCAACTTGCAAGGTGTCTCCCTATATGTGGACCAAACATGAATCTCATCTAAATACCATAATCTATGACAAACGAGACGATTGTAATTCTGAAATTATCAATTTCAACCACCTTAGTAGCTAAAGAGGGACGAAAGATACCAGAGGGACAGTCAAACTCATAGATCGAAAACAAACTGAAAACGCCATGGCCAAAAATAAAAAGACAGACAAATAATAGTACAGATGACACAACATAGAAAACTAAAGACTAAGCAACACGAACCCCACCAAAAACTGGGGGTGATCTCAGGTGCTCCGGAAGGGTAAGCAGATCCTGCTCCACATGTAGCAATATACCAACTGCATCTAATATGTGATCTGATGACAATAAAAATTTAACCAGGAATCTTGAGAACTCACGCGTTGAATAAAAATGGTATATCTTTTAGGTGCGTTCGACGAGTTGCATACGTATCAGGCATTGGGCGAATTACATTGCAATGTAATGCATTATATTACAATTACTTTGACCAAACCATGCATTATATTACAATTAAAATTACATGCATTTATCAAAGTAATGCATTATATTACAATTACTTTTGCAAAGTAATGCCTTGAATTACACATTACATTTTGAAAAACAACTAGAAGTCACAAAAGATTCTAGCATATGCAGTAACTGTTCCATAAATTGAATATAAGTATACATGTAAAAAGTCTATTTAATTCGACTTTAATTTAAAATTTTAATTATTTTAACTTAATGTTGACTTTACTTTTATAAATATACTTTTTGTTGTTTTTTTTTTAATTTTAAACGAAATGTTTAATTACTGTGAATTACTTCCCTAATTATAAAATAAACATAGACCTTAATTAATGAACAATTGTCTAAATGGTGAAAATATTGATTGTAAAACAAACTAATTAGTGTTTTATAACAAAGTTTAATTATCTTTTATGTAAGCAAGACAAGATAGTCTTTGATCTTATGACAACAATATAGTTATGCTTTTCAAATATCAATCTTTTTATGCAGGAAAATGTAAGGAAATAAGATGAAATAAAGAATATATTCTAATGATTAACATAGTCTTAGTTAATCAAGAAATCTTAATTTTGGTTTAGTTAAAACTCCAACAATATGTTAAAGATGTAGTATGTGAAAAAAAGTAATGACATGTAATGCCATGTAATGCATGAAATTACACAACTTTTTGCTAAAGTAATACATTATATTACAATTACATGTAATGCACAAATTGCTGCATTACACATTACATGCAATTACTTGGGAAAATGCAATGCATTACCATGCATTACAATTACAAATTTGCATTACCCCATGCCTGATACGTATGTCATTTTATTTGTAATAACTCATGGGAACGTTAGATCCGCTGATACATTTATCTTTTTGACAGTGTATGTTTTCCGTTCCACAAATAACTTTCTGAAAGAAAACTTCATCAACGAGCTGTTATGTGACCTAATGCTGGTACAGTTAAGAAAAGGACATTGGAAAGGATTACTATTTCCTGTTACTTGTTCCTACCGTTATTTGACAATTCTACTGTATTTTTCTAAGCTATCATCATTCATGACAGCTGATACACATATAAATAAACCTTTGTCATGTTTACTATGTACCTCTTCTAAATATTCTACAGTCATGAAACGTATAACTTACTTATTCTTTTCTTGTGTATCTCGATTAAATTCTTTACAGTAATACCTTTTTTTACCACAACCTTTTTGTTTTCATTTAAAATACGAAAAGGTTGTGGTAAACTATCTAATCACATTGCATCGGCACCTCCATGATTTATTACATAACTCTCTTAAACTCACCGTTATTAATACAAGACTTCTTCATTTTATATGATTCATGTTAACACATTTTCAGGGTTAATATTTGCCGGATTTAGAAAACCTTAACACATCTATGTTTCTGTTAATCTGGTATATCCCTATAGCATTGTGGATAAAGGTTTTCTATACCAAAAGACAGTTCTGATTTCTATAAATACTTACTGCATTTTTTGTAGAGTGTATCTACTCCAAGATTACTTTTACAATCTATGCCGCCATTGCATGGTGTGGGTTCATAACACTTTCGACTTCTAGTTGTTTCTCCTTCGCATATTTGTGAGCAATCATCCCATTCACTCCATAGTGTGTAACCTCCATCAACTTTATCTAATTAATGAATCATACTAATTATTAATTTTGTAAATAGCATCACCCCTAATTCTATTATATTCAGGATAATAATATAAGTATTACTGACGTACGTATTGGTATAATATATATATACATTAGACGTCTACGGAATTACAAAAACTGTTTTAATGGAGAAAACTTTTATTACCCGACATATACGACATATCATGTTTCAATTGCGTAAAATGGGAGACATCTCTCACTTTACCCAATTGATAACGTCGTGTTCTAGATTTGCCTCCCCTTGTTACTTCATCCGGGTTTTAGTTAGCATGTGGTTTAAGCAGAGAGCATGTTCCAGCAACATTTTATTATGTTTTTGATTTTGTTTTCTTTATCAATTTTCTTTATCATTACCCAGATCGGGTTCAGGTGCTTCATATTGACACTTTGTTAATTGTAGCTTATTGATACCATGTTTAGTATAATTGTATTTTATTGTGATTTTACTTTTTATTGCATTATTATAATAAAGCACCTTTTGCCAAACACTATAAGTTGTCAATTCTAACGTATATCTTTGATTTTTTAAGTCGTTTGTGTGTCGTTCTGTATTAGAATAGTGAAAATAAATATGTTTTTTGGACTTTTTGAATAAAACAATTCGCTTATCAGAAAAAAGAGCCGTCTCCTAAAACCTATATATGAAAGAAGAAAAAATTACAACAGGTATTCAGATATAAACTTTGGACTGATTAACTTAATTTTGTAATATGATATTGATATAAGTTAAAGCAGAACATATTTTCAATGTGTTTGTTATTATGTATTATATTATAACCATACATATATGATCAAAACAGAGTAAAGACACTTTGCATAATGTACATAAAAGTATTTATAAGTTCCCAGATCCAATAAAATTTTGAATCCACTATTTTGAAGATTGGTTTGTTTATTCGTTCAAAACAAATGTCCACCATTTTTCACGTTCATGAAATAAAATATACACACGATTTGATCTGTACCTCTCATCATGCTAATTACAACACGGCAATTTTAAATTGTCGATCTGGATCTAATTACTTTACAGGAAGACATAAAATCACCTCGAGTTTTGGTGTGATTTGTGTTGTTCAGATTAATTTTTTATGCAGTGTTTAATAGACTTTCGAGTTTTGTTTTTATTGTTATGTCGATATCTCTCCACCTTGTGTGTTTTAATGGTTCCTTTTGTATCGTAATCTTCTTTTTACAACGACTTACCGTTTGTAAGCAAACATACTCTTGTCTCTAGATCGTCACTGTCAGTAACCATTCCAGTTACCGTGTCATTTGTTACATTTGCTCTTGTTTGTATTCCTTTGCAGTTTTTATCCGGACTTGAATTACTGATATTACACGATGACCAAGGGGTCCATGTAAATATTACTTCAGCTTCAGAGATAACTGTTTGATCTAAAAATAAAAGACGATATATAGTAGCTGTCTTGTAAGTGTCCAATCTATATGCTACCGTTTAAATTGGGTATAGAAAAGCAAACAACAATCAAAACTCATAAATAGAAGAACTATAGACGACAACACCATGAACAAAAGCAAACAGAGGAAAAGACTAAAAGAGTCCACAAAACACTACACAAAAACTAAAGATTGAGTCACACAAGAAAAAGTTTATATTCTATTATGTAGTTACTGAAGCTAGATCAAAGCCAATAACAACTAATACAAACCCATATATCTAAGACTATAATAGTTCTGACACTGAACTGCAGTCAAGTTTAGCGTTTGGTAATTCATTGATAACATTCTAGCGTATCACAAACAAACAACTTGTAACGTCTCATTTCATTGGCCGAAAGATTCAAATACGACAACAATCGATGTGTGCACGTGAATTGACACAGGTGACCGACAATGGCATGTACTATGTTACTACGAACGTAAAAAGATTTTAAAAAATGTTTTTGTAATGCTGTGTCTTTGCCTGATTTTCAAATATTGGGGTCGATATATTATTGTAAATATCGAAACAAAAGATTGAAATGTAACATCGGCGATGATTTTTCGTTTGCACTGATGTGTGAAACTAAAAAGATTAAAAAAAAATACTTGTGTAATGATGTCGTTGTTTATAAGTACAATATAAATGTACTGTTTTGATTTTAATTGTTTTTTTATTTCATACTAAGATGAACCTACCGAAAGAATAGAGCTTTGCATATCATATTTGTGCCCGTGTTGTTTTGTGGAAATACAAAAATATAAATGTATATACACAATTGATTATGAATGAAATTGAATTATTGAAAGAAACATCCACATGTTCTTTTACAGTCTCTAATTAGTTTTTAACCTATAGTAAAATGTATTTTTTTATATGCCGTGGTTAAAATGTATTAGTCATAATGTTATCAAGACGAAGTATTTAAAACATATTTCATTTGCGGATTCAGATGTAGATTACTGGTAGTACATCTAAAAAAATATTTTGTTTACCAAAAACTAAGTATAAGTTTATCGAGAAAGATGCAACATTAATAGAAATACAATAAAATTCAAGGTACACAAATTTAGTATATAAAAAATACATTCTCATCTAAAATTAAAAATTCTCATTCACGGTCATTTGCCATAATTCGTACTCAAATATGTCGAATTATAGCTCATAAGACAAACGTATGCAAAAACGAGAAAAATAAAGGAAAACACGTTTTTCTTTTTATCAAACATTTGAAAATCGAGAATCTGGCATATTGAACACCTGGGGAATGCTGAACTGAATCTTAATAAATTAACTTGCATTTCTCAGGCCTGTATGCCAGCATACGAACCTGGTGTATGCTAAAGTCTACATTTAATTTATACATTGTATCTCTCAGGTCTGTATGCCTGCATACGAACCTGGTGTATGCAGAACGGCCAATATTGAATCAAATGTTGTATTTCGCAGGTCTGTATGCCAGCATACGAACCTGGATGTTTCCAGAATCTTCAATGTAATGCATTCGAATCAGTAGAGCATACAAACATGGTGTTGCCAAAATCCTTTACTTCAGTAGTTGTGTTTTAACACCGATTTCGATTTTCTTTAAACTACAAGTCTACGACTGACCTCTAAAATTTTCTCCCCATAGGTAAACAGAAAAGCGTTAATTTGCAAAGCAAACTGTTAAAGCGTTTACTGTTGTAAATCTAAAAATGAAAACCGATTCTCAAGTTCCACGACTATGATCACTTTCATATTGACATGCAAGTTATCTGTTTTGTTTTTTGCAAATTAAAATTACGGAAAAATGAGGCCATCATAATTTGTACTGCAAGGTTCCAAGTTGTTGACAAAACTTTAAATGACGTCAGGGACCTTGTGACGTAAGGCGGAGGGAATTACAGACGGATAGCACAATGAGGGCCTTGACTTACGCGAGCTTCTTTCACCAGTACACTTAATTAAAATAATAGCAATTAATTACAAAACAAAATTGTTTTTTTATACTTTGTATTGGTAATTGATAAAAAATCAAAGAACAAATGGACTATTTATCTGCGTTGAATGACCTCTAATAACACCGTATGTCACGCGCTCTTATATGACGTCATTTCTAAATGTAAACAATGAGAATGATCAATGACGGAGTTCCCGTCACGGAGAAGAAAATGGACAGTTCATTGAAAAGTACGCTCTATTATCATCTAAATTTTAATATACCAGAAGCAAAACAGAATGTTAGTACATTTAAGGTAAGTAAACCTCGCTGTTTTTGTACATTTTCCACGAATTTAATAGAACACCCCCTTTTTTAAAATTGACTCAATCCGACCTGAAAACTGTTATTTATATAATAAGATTATTGATTATAGATGCTAATTGTGTTTTCTCAAGAGGTTTGTCCACTTCAATCAATTTCATGCAGGACATCGTGTGGCTAACTATCAAGCTGCCCCCCTCCCAAAAAAAACCCAAAATAGCCTTGCAAGACGTCATAAGTATTTGGACTACCCCCCCCCCCCCCCCCCCCCCCCCCCCCACCCCACCCCGAAAGCATTTAGAGAAAACAAATGAATGGGAAATACGATTAGGTGTACATCCACAGTGATGTCTCCTTGCATTAGTTCCAGAGGCGGATTTAGGGGGTGCTTTGTGGGAAAAAATTGGTTGATTATTGCGGAAAGCATGACTGGAGCGATCCATCTCTGAGGTAGTCAGTGTCCACCCCTATCCCCCATATGCAACTGTGGATCTGCCACTGAGTTAAGTCTCCCGGCTTTTGTTTTAAATTGAAATTCAGCCCCTATCCAGATTTTCAAAATGCATGACCAATGTCCTTCAGTTAACCCATTCAGTTCTTATTCTAACAATTCTTAGGGAAACAACTGTCCCAGGTAAGGGCGAGGGTTGAGCGCTCACATGTTAAAACCGGCCACACTAGTCTTTATGTGCCTGTCCCAAGTCAGGAGCCTGTAGTTGAAGATGTCATTAATAATTGGTTCATGTATGTCGTATTTCTTTTTCGTAAATTGTTTTGCTATAAATTAGGTCGTTAGTTTTCTCAAATGCATTGTTTCTTATTTTTCATGTTGGAACCTTTTATCATCTGACTATACGATATTGGTTTTCTCTCATTGGTGAAGTCCGTACGGTTGCCTATACTTGCTTACATCCACTTCATTTGGACTTTGGTGGATAGTTGTCTCATTAGCATTCATCCCACATCTCCTTATTTTTACAAGGAGGTTGTATGATGTTCTCCTTGTTTGGGAAAACTGTACATTTGTCACATGATCATGCAGCATTCTGTGATGTGTGTATGTAAGAAGCTGTTACAGGGTAATTTATGAAAAACTATCAACAAAATCGAAAGACAGACAGAAAACTTTTGAAATTTAGTGATCAATAAAAACCAAAAAAGAAGTAATTCAAACAAATCAAACATATATTTATTGCGAAAGGATCTGAACAGCACATTTCAAGAGTGTTCAAATTGGAAAAATGAATGTTATTAAGGAAATTACATATTTCATTGATCTTCAATCATATGCATGGTTACACAAAAACTTTCAAGGGAACGACTTCAATTCAACCACTAAGAACCCTTAGTTCAATAAATTCTAAAATCAGTAACTGCGATAATGTTAAAGTTATGAAGTGTATAATATTTACATATATATATACGTATATAATATGTAGTTTCAATTTCTCGTTTCAGCATTTTTCAAACAGTGGCTATATCTTTCATGTAACTATTTATGTGTTGCTTATGAATTGAATTGTAACACTTCTTAGTGACTGGATAGGTTAAACCAATGCCTTCCTAGAAAACTACGACACCAATGAACAGCACCTGACCTTTTGATGTTCCTGCTTATAAAGTAAAAATAGCTTCACTAGAAAAGGACGACACCTAGAAAAAGCATCAATTCTTTGGCTTTCCTGATTGAAGGATTTATTTTCATAACTCCAGTGTATATGCCAGTATACATAATTTTTACCATAGTATAGTACTATAAATTCACTAATTTTCATATCTAAGCCAATCCAGTTAGATACCGACTTATGATATGCAGTCAAGACAGATCATTGCAAATTGTTTAAATTAACGATAATTAAAATACATGCATGTTTGGCATACATCTTTTTACAGCAAATTGTATACAGACATCCCCCCTAAAAGCATTTAAAAAAATACCAAACAAGAACTTTGTCATACACCATGTTGACAGGCAGAAATGCAAACACAATGACTTAAAAACTTTGCTGTATCACTATCTATTTAGTATGCATATTGCCATCTATATCAGATTTTAAGACAGTTCCATTTTCTATCCATCAATTGAAGTTACTAACTTAGAGCATGATGAAAAATAATAGTTTTACAATTTAAAATATGAATACAACATACGGCTAGTTAGAATTCAAACCGTTCAGCTTGCTAAATATCCAATAAGTTCCACCAAATATGCAGAAATTTTAGACTGGAGGCAAACCCTACACAATTACACTAGCTCATTGAACACCAGCTTGGTTGGACAATACTTAAATGTATGTAAAACTATGATCCAATAGAACATAGGTGGGTATACAGCAATCAAATCTTGTATATATCCAAGTAAAAAAAAAAATAAGTGTTCACCGTACACCAGTGTTGTATGCAAGAATACCGTGAACTGAAAATGTCAAACAAATATGAAAACTTTCATGTTCAAATGTGTATAGGACTATAGGTCGGTATGCCGACAAGCAAACCTATGAATTCCATTTTTTTCAAAAGAGTTTATTGAAAAGCGGGTTGATATACAGGAATAAACCCCTGAGTGTTGCAGTTAAGAATTGAGAGATTTCTTTCAAATTCAAACGAAGTTGAAGGCTATACATAAGTAATTCCTTACATCCATGTAATTCAGCCTTTGATGGAGATATGTCTCTTTCACAATCATACACATCTCCTTATTTATGTATA